ACGCCAACATCAACGGATTGCGTCACATCTGTATTTTAAATAAAGCTATTTCACACAAACACGCACACTCATTCACTCACGCTGCGTTCGATTCGTGTCGCCTTTATGGTCAATACGACTTGGAAACATTGCTCAAAACATGCTCCGGGTCATACCTTCTTCGTTTAAAGTCAAAATAACTCTATTTGCGTTAACGTTACATGAATCGAAGTCAGGGGGATGTCTCTAAAGTTGATTATTCTAACTTTCTTCACCTTTTATCGTTTCAGGCTGTTCTCAAAACCATTATATTGCGGGGTATTCTTTGATCAATCTTTACTTCTACACAGAAGGACAGACGATAATTTCTTCAGAAGAATTGAAGCCGAGGTAATTTTGAAATGAAATGCGGTTTAACGGCCTACTTTTCTGCAGCGACTGGGCGAACGAAGACGGACATTCAGTGTGCAAAGAGGGATATTTTGTCCCGACGGCGGCACAGTGGTTTGTGTTTCCATCCTTGTCAGACCCTCCGTCCTGCACCACGGATAAGGTTAAACCACGCCCGGAAAATCCCGCGCAACTTTCTCGGCCAACACAGGGAGTGGACAGTGGACACGCGACCTGCTTAGTAAGTCTATGTCTTAAGTCTGGCTCACAACCCGTCGTACGTGCTACTAGCTCACAACCCGCCGTACGTGCTACTAGCTCACAACCCGCCGTACGTGCTACTAGCCCACAACCCACCGTACGCCCTACTCGCAAACAACCCGCCGTACGTGCTACTAGCTCACAACCTGCCGTACGTGCTACTAGCCCACAACCCGCAGATACAAAATTTTCACCGGGTTTCGTGCGGCTGATCTGTGAGCTACCAAACCCTACGACCCGTGCATGTCATAACACGTACGGCGGGGTGTGAGCTATAGGCTTTACTCGCTGTGCCTCCACAGCTCCCCGGACAGGGGACTCAGCGGGCTTGTTTTAAGTATACTAGCAGATACTAGCAGAGTAATGAATTGATTATGAGTTTCTAAATTTATTCTAACAGGATAAGTTGAACAAGATTCTACAGGAGAAAGGGTATTATGATACGCAGGAAGATATTGAACAGCACAAAATGTCTTTGAGAAAATCAGGAATGGTGCCATTAATTTATGCTTGTGCCACCCTGTGGCGGGAAAATGCAAAGGAAATGACTCAACTTTTTAAATCTATCTTACGGTAAATTAGAATATTTGTACGTGTTTACACCCATTAATAATTCCTTTTCTGCAACGACTGGGCTAATGGAGGCGCCATGTAGTGTGCTGTTAGGGATAATTTACGTTGACAGCGGCGCTAACAGCCTACTTTTATTTCGAATTCCAGTGTTCAATGTGTACGCAGGACCTCGGATTTTCGTTCCATCCGAATGACTACGAGCTGTTCCTTGCTAGACCGTCCGTTCTGAAACACCGACAAGGGAAACCACTCTGGAACTTTGTCGGTCAACTCCGGATGAGAACCCGGGACTTTCTGGTTACAGAGCCAGCTTCTTACTCACTGAACCACCGCGACACCCTAATTCTGTGTTTGTCTTGTGAAGAGTCGATAAGTCAGTTATTTTTTAAGGTAGCACCCCTTTCGTTCGCAAATCTCAGAATTATCTCCTTTGCGTTCAGACTTTCCTATCATAGCGATATAGCAAGGCCGGTATAAATACTGCCTAAACGTCATCTGAACATTTAGCCTTTAAAAGGCCTAATGATCGTATCCCAATCCCAAAGCAACGAGTGTTTGCACTCGGCAAACCTCGGAAGATTCCGTTAATCTACATCTAGATCGGATGTATGACGGTAACTGATATGTACCTTCGCCTATACAATTGCGATGCGACACCGGTTTACTTAGTAGGAACACTTGCTTCTTTTAAAAAAAAGTTATCAAAATTGCGTCGTTCGAAGCATGTGTAGAATTTACAGTGCAAAGTTGTCCTTGTTTAAAGAAAATCGAATAAACTTGAAAGATAAACAGCTTCAGACTTTGAAATATTTGTATGATAAAACATTCTTCAAAGGCGTCGTCATGGGCGACGCCGTTGGTAATCTGGGAACTTGAAAATAGTTCAATGGCGGACTTCGTCATTCAGCCGAGGCTAGATGTAGGGTACTGGAATCTGCTGAGGTTTGCCGAGTGCGAGTGTTTGGTCCAGGGCACCGAATCACGATTTGCAAGACATAAACTAACCCAGAACACGAACATTCATAATAACATTATTGTCGTTTCGAGGCTTCATTATGTTGGTTTTCGTCTTTTTCAGATTTTAATAACAAAATTCTTTAAGGTCAATTTCTTCAATTATTCTAGCAAACATCCTTTTATTCCTTTCAGAATGGACTTCGACCAATTCCAGAAGGCCATGCACCAAACCATGTCTGGCGAGGTTGATAAAGACATGTACGAATTTGAAGGTAAATCAACATTGTAGTCAGAGCAATGCAATCAGGGAGCCGCGGTGGCTTAGTGAGTAGGAAGCTTGCTCGTTAGCCTGGGGGTCTAGGGTTCGCTGTATTTAGCTGCGTGTTCGATAGCTTTATAAAAACTATAAGGAATGGGTTTAGTCGCCAGACGACTTGATATCTGGACATTGTATAGATTGGGCGTGATAATAATAATAATAATAATAATAATAAGGTTTATATAGGCCCTTTTCCATGTTGACACATATTCATAAATGATGAGTATGGTTCTACTAGTAAAACTGTCGAAACAGGACATTCTTTAATGTGAATTTAAATGGATTAAAGTCTGTTGATTCTTGATCTGATGTGGAAGTTCATTCCATAATCAAGGACCTGCTGAAATGAATGGAAAAGACAATGCCATGGTCATCGGGTATATGTGGCAACATAGGTCAGGTCATTCAGTATTTGTCTACCGCCATTCGCTCGGTCCTAATAACAGAAGATGATCAGTTTCTTAAATGTAGGATTTATTTATATCGGGAACATAAACATACAAACACAGGAACATAAATCAAACAGGAACTAAACTACACCAGAAATATAATCGATAACATTGATAGAGTACATTAAGATAATCATGCCACCCTTCTGCCTCGGCAGCTACTGAACTCGGATTTAAACAGACAATGACACTAACAAAGTGTTACAAAGAAACGATCTGATTAAAATACAGATCTGTATTTCGTTTCGGTTTTTTTATTTTTATACTTCCCATGGCCTACACTACACGAATACTGTCCAGTTGTACTGTGAGGTCGCGTAAGGGGTCATACGAGCGGCTTTTGACCCTATGGCGTCAGTCATTGATTGATCAATCAGCGTTATGTCTCTAGCTGGTTAACCACAGTTCCGTGTAATTCGCACCAAGAACTCGCCGTAACAGACCGTTTCATTGGCTTATTCCTCACATCAGCTAGAACGCCTGTTATTTAACAACTCTTCCATGTCCTAGTGTTGTGGAGACAAGTAAAACGAAATTTTGAACTATAAAAAACGAAACGAAATATGACCTGTGTTTTAATCAGACTGACAAAGAAAAGGTATCGTGGTAATTATTTGAATCCTTCTTTTTCGTTTTGCAGCTCACATATTCTTTGATGATGCCTTTGTTGTTGATGATAAGACAGGGGAGTATAAAGTGAATAGTTATGTTAAACAGATGATACGTACATTACAGATAGCTATCAGGTATGATTGACAGTAACGTCCTATTGCTCTGCTCCGACTGGGCTAATGAAGACGGACCTACGCCATACAGTGTGCTATGACAAAAATGTTACCCGGACAGCGGTACTACGGCCTACTCTTATATCGAATTCCAAATATAATTTCTTGTATTGTGAAATCGGGAAAAGCATTATTGTTTGTCTCAATCCGTCAATGTTATTTGCTTCTTGATCTGAAGTTCACGCTATAATAGTTTAAAAATAGATAATAAGAAGCGAATATATTGAAACTTTTCACTGTTTGAAGAATAGCGTAGTTTCGATTTTCAGATAGAAATTGGAATGAGACCTGTTATTTGATAATCTCGCTTACGAACATGGAATTACCGGACTTTATAATTAGTCATGGCTTAATGTAATTCTTGAAATATTGTCCACGTTACAGGTGCCTGTGGGTAAGACGCTGGCACGCTAGTCTGTAAGTCGCGTGTTCGATCCCTGCATTGACCGAAAAGTTCATCAGGATTTTCCGACTTGGTTTCCCTATGTCAGGGGTGCAGGAGCAAGAGGAAGGGCCTAACAAGGACAGTTGTCTAGTCGTTCGAATGGGACGAAAAACCGATGGGGGTTTAACGTCCTATTGTTCTGCTCCTATACTGGGCTAATGAAAACGGGCATACGCCATACAGTGTGCTCTGAGGGAAATTTTGCCCGGGCAGCGGCACTACGGCCTACTCTTATATCGAATTCCAACTGCCAGGGGATATTTTACGCGCATTCCAATATATACACTTGACCTCGGTTTTTGACATTTCATTTCATTTCATTTCATTTCATTTCATTTCATTTCATTTACCCACCACTGACATTATTAGCAAGGTAGTATTGTTATATTGGACGCATGCTAACGTAATATAATCTCAATCGTGATGGCGGCGGGGGGGTGGGGGGGTGGATGGCTGAATGGTTAGCGTGCGCGCGCTGTATCATAAAGTCTGTCATTAAGTCGACTGGTGTGGTTTCGAATCCCCGGTTGTACGTGGCAAGGAGTAGGGTCGCCTTTCCAACCTCGTGGGTTTTCTCCGGGTCCTCCGGTTTCCTCCCACTGCTAAAGACCCCTACGCGCAAGCGAATTATGTAAATAAAATTAAACCATATGTTAGTCCCGAAATGACCTGGTTTGTGTCGAGTGGACGTTAAACCCCATTTCTCTCTCTCTCGCTCTCTCTCCATCGTGATACAATAGTTCAATAAACCGGTAAATTATTTTTGATTTAATTTCTTTTTTTTCAGTTCTGTACACCGCAACAAAATTTATGTAGATCCACCCACGAATTACAAGACCCCATACGGAGGGAGACTAGAATGGACTCTTCCGGGAGATAACAAGTTGATTGTCCATCTTAAAGATAAAAAGTTAATAAGGATTAAAAAACGATGGAGTCAGGTTGGTTTATATACCGTTCGGACACGGATATTACTCGTTTATCTTTTTTATATGAAAGGAGTGTATGCTCTCCCTTCACAGCCATTACCTTTTAGAAAATGAAATGAAATGAAATGGGGTTTAACGTCCTACTGTTCTGCTCCTAACCTGGGCTAATGAAGACGGGCATACGCCATACAGTGTGCTATGAGGGAAATTTTGCCCGGGCAGCGGCACTACGGCCTACTCTTATATCGAATTCTAACTGCCAAGGGATCTTTTACGTGCACGCCAATGTGTACACGGGACCTCGGTTTTTCGTCCCATCCGAACGACTAGACAGCTTTCCTTGTCAGCCCCTCCGTCCTGCATCACTGACAAGGGAGAACCACGCCGGAAAATCTGGATGAACTTTCTCGGCCAATGCAGGGATCGAACACCCGACCTCCAGGCTAGCGAGCTAGCGTCTTACCCACTTAGCCACGTGATCCCCATTACCTTTTAGATGACAGGACTATAAATATCGGGCCTACCCATCAGTCTATCTGACTTACTGACCATTCCTTCACAGTTATTACTGTTTTAGACGAAAGGAATATACACCATTCCTTCACAGTTATTACTGTTTTAGACGAAAGGAATATACACCATTCCTTCACAGTTATTACTGTTTTAGACGAAAGGAATATACACCATGCCTTCACAGTTATTACTGTTTTAGACGAAAGGAATATACACCATTCCTTCACAGTTATTACTGTTTTAGACGAAAGGAATATACACCATTCCTTCACAGTTATTACTGTTTTAGACGAAAGGAATATACACCATTCCTTCACAGTTATTACTGTTTTAGACGAAAGGAATATACACCATTCCTTCACAGTTATTACTGTTTTAGACGAAAGGAATATACATTATCTTGGATTTGTACGCGACAAGAAGTAGGGTAGCGCCTATCTAACATTGTTAGTTTGTTTTTTTCAGCATTTTCATTTCACTGTTCTCCGGTTGGCTCCCGATAGAGAGCGAGAGAGAGAGAGAGAGAGAGAGAGAGAGAGAGAGAGAGAGAGAGAGAGATGGGTGTAACGTCCACTCGACACAAACTAGGTCATTTCGGGACTAACAAATGTTTCAATTTTATTTCAATGATTTGCATGCGCGTAGGGGTCAGTGGGAGCAAACCGGGTTGAACGGGCGACCCTACTCCTTGTTACGTACAACCGGGTAATCGAAACCACGCCAGTTGACTCAATGATACTGCGCGCACCTGCTAACCATTCGGCCATCCAACCCCCTTATTTTAAATGATCTTTTTTAGGTAATGTATATGTATTATCTACTATCATTTCGTTTGATGTGTGATGAAGAGGTTCGGAGGAAATCAAAGGCAGCAGAGAATACCTACATATTAGCTCTAGACGGTGATGTCGACTTCTATCCTTCTGCTGTTCAACTATTGGTCGATAGAATGCGCAAAAACGTTAACCTTGGTGCTGCCGCTGGTAGAATTCATCCGATAGGATCCGGTATGTTGGAGTTATACTTTCTACTTTCTCGATCTTTTCTCTGGGTCGACGCCATAATTTTATAAACACTATTTTTATTTGGGTCGACGCCATTCAAAAACGAAAGCCTAATGCTCCGCCAATTCAATAACGATCGACACGTAACTTAGCACGTTTGTTCCTTAGACAATTGCGCATCGATTGACGGACCTTGATTCGATGCAATGACGTCATGCTCGATTCCTGGTCCTTGTTGATAAAAACATGGACAAAGTTTCGTTTTGGTTGAATATTTTCCGCTCTGGATCGAAAATTTAAAAAACGAAATTTAGATGTATATTTAAGTAAGCGATTCGTGCACTGGCTCAGTGAGCAAGACAGTGGTTCGCTAACCAGTAGGTCTTCGGTTAGCTGCCGGGGTTGGTCGAGAATTCCCCAGGATTTTCCATCGTGGTTTACCCTTGTCAGTGGTGCCTGACAAGAACTGTGTACAGTTGTTCGAATGGGGCAAAAACCGAGGTATCGTGTACATATTGTTTTGTACGCAAACTCTTGAGAGTTGGAATTCTAAAAAAGAGTATGTCGTAGCGCCGCTGTTCCGGCAAAATTCCCCCTAGTCATTAGCCTAGTCGGTGCAGATGACTAAAACGCTAAACGCCATTTCATGACATTTTATTTCTTTGCTTGCAGGTCCACTGGTATGGTATCAGCAATTTGAATATTCAGTTAGTCATTGGCTACAGAAAGCAACTGAACATACGATTGGATGTGTCTTTTGTAGTCCAGGTTGTTTTAGTCTTTTCCGTGGATCAGCGTTGATGCGTGATGACGTCATTAAGAAATATGCCTCGGTGGCCACAGAAGCTAGACACAAAATACAGTTCGACATGGGTAAATAGTTCTACATTAATGTTACAGATGTCTCCAAAATAAAGATGGCGGTGTGGTTTCGATCCCCTCGCGTGTACGTGACAAGGAGTGGGGTCGCCTGTCCATCTTCGTGGATTTTCCCCGGGTACTTCGGTTTCCTCTCACTGCTAGAGATCTTTATGCGCATGCGGATTATTGAAATATACTTTAACCATATGTTAGTCTCGAAATGACCTAGTTTGTATCGATTGGACATTAAACGCCATTTCTGTCTCTCTCATATAAAGATGATCTAAGTATTCGAATGATTTTTAAGACATTTCTAAAATCCTTTGTTTGCTCTTCCATCGTGAGTCTTAACCGCGAGCGATATCACCGAGAAGACACCCGATTAGATTTTATTACATACTTCGAGAAGGTATTTGGAGAAGAAGAGCTTCCGTTCAAACACAAGAATAAATTAAACATTTTGTTTGTGAACACGACTGACAGTAGATTTTGAAAAATAAAATGAACAAATTTGACCAAAAACGTCGCAATGTTTCTATGGAAGACCAAACAGTTCTTTATTCAGTGTTCTTAATTCTTAGTTCTTTGTCAAGTGTGTAACAGCAAGAACCTCCAGCTCTTTTATCTAAATCTTTCATCTTTGTTCTATGACCTTTGTGTTTATCATTCATCTATCTAAGTTTATTTCTAATAAATACGTAGCGGTGGCTCAGTGAATAAGGCGCTGGTTTCATAATCTTGGGGTCCCGGTTTTGTCACGTTGTCGACGTTCCCTGGAATTTTCCGGCATGTTTTCCCTTTGTCGGTGAGGCAAGACGTGGGGTTCGGGCGAAAACCGAGGTCCCGTGTACACACTGGCATTCTTCACACTTCGAGAATAGGTCTCTTCCCTAAATTGCCGCCATATCCAAAAATTAGTATACTGTTCTGTAATGTGGTTCGACTCTGTCATACGCACAAAGACTACATAAACTTTTGCAATTTTATTAAATGGAAGCAGAATAAATACCTAACAAATTTCTCGAAGTATGCTTGGTGTTTTTGACTTAAATCGTTAATTTAGGACTTAAAATGTCGGTCAACTAGCTTAGTGTCTGTTATTAAGCGGGGCTAACTGTAGACAGAACAGCCTAAGTTTAGAATGCTCCTCAGTAAGTGAACTCGGTCTTCTCAAATCCATGTCCAGACCATCGCTTATATTTAACTTTTTAAGTAGTGGTGGATGTAGAATAAGATGTCCACACTCATATATAGCTACATGTAAATCTATTTGTTAAGGCCAGATCAATTTTTGTCAAGGTCACCGAGTTGTAAATAAGGTTAGTGCACGTGATTGTTGGCGAGATTGTAGGTTAGGGCTAGCACTGGGGCTAGATCTAGGGATAGGGTTGGTATTAGCGTTAGCCCTGATTACATCTCGTAACCTATGACGAAAAATTAAGCTGGCCTTATCATTTAGCACTAACCCTCATATATATCATTTGCTTAGCCTTCTGGAACATCTTGTACCACTTCTATTTCAGGAGAAGACCGATGGTTGTGCACACTTCTACTTAAAGCTGGTATGCGAGTTGAGTACTGTGCTGCAGCTGATGCTTACACGTTCTGTCCAGAAACTTTCAACGAATTTTACAAACAACGGCGTAGATGGACGCCGTCAACCATGGCGAATATTCTGGATATTTTAAGCTCCTGGAAGGAACTTTGCCGGACAAATGATGACATATCATGTATTTACATGTTTTACCAAGCCGCCCTTTTTGTGTCTTCTGTATTAACTCCCGGGACCATCTTTCTCCTGATACTAGGAGCATTTAACACAGCTTACCCCGATATATCTCTTCATGTTGCCCTCATCTTCAACCTACTCCCAGTTGTTATATTCATCATCATGTGCTACACGGCTAGCGAAGATGTTCAGGTAGGTCTTATACAGATATATTCATCACCATGTGCCACACGGCTTGCGAAGATGTTCATCTAGATCTTACAAATATGAAAAGGGATTTAACTTCCAACTTTCTGCACCGACAGGGATAATGAAGCCGCGCATACGTCATGATACAGTGTGCTATAAGGAACATTTTGCCCGTACAGCGGCAATACGGCCTACTTTTTTTTCGAATTACAATTGCCAAGGATTCTTGTCAGGCCCTCCGTCCTGCATCCATAATAATGGGAAACCACGTTTGGGTCTACAGAGATTTTTGTTTAGTTGTTAAACCAGTTTGTGCGGGCTTAATGCCGTCGGTATAATTGTAAATTTTCTGAACGCCAATTGAGGGAAATGACATGACACGAAATGGGGTATAACGTCCTACTTTTTGGATCTGCCCGGGCTATTGAAGACGGTGATTGGGGTGCCCCTTGCAAAGTACAGACTTGTGGATGTTGAATCTAGAAATGGTTGAATTCCGTTCAATATTTACAAAGAGGTGATGACTTGTAAGCATCTGTGAACTTTCGGCATCCTCAAATCACGGTTATAAACAAAAGGAATAGGGTCAAAACAAGCAAGCGCCACCAAAATGTATTGCTAAAATCATCATTTGATTGTTCTCTTTTATAGATATTTTGATATCGTGAGCTTAATTTAATGTTAAATAATTAAAATTTAGCGTGGATTAATCCCTGGATTAATGATTTCAGGGGTGGTTGGGTAGGGAGTTAACGAGTGCGTGGCACAGATTCTCCGTTTTAAGGAATAGGTCACCTCGTGGGTTTTCTCCGCAAGTGTATTGTTGAAATGGGGGGGGGGGGGTGGATGGCCTAATGGTTAGCACTTGCGCGCTGAATCATAAGAACTGTCATTGAGTCCACTGGTGCGGTTTTGATTCCCCGTTTGTACGTCGCCTGTCCAACCTCGTGGGTTTTCTCCGGGTTCTCCGGTTTACCTCCCACTGATAAAGACCCCTACGCACAAGTGAATTATTAAAATAAATTGAACCATGTTAGTGCCAAAATGACCTAGTTTGTGTTGAGTGGACGTTAAACCCCAGCCCCCCCCCCCCCATATTGTTGAAATAAAATTGAACCAAATGTTAGTCCTGAACTGGCCTAGTTTGGACGCTAAACCCCATTCATCTTCTCTCTCTCTCTTCATTTCAGATCGGCTATGCAGCAGTAATGTCAACAATATATTCACTGGTCATGATGGTGGTCATTGTTGGATTAATCAAGCAAATCGTAGAAAGTCAGTTTTGTTCAGTTACTGCTATATTCTTTCTCGGGGTCGTTGGAATCTTTTTCGTGTCGGCACTATTACATCCCAGAGAGTTCCTCACAGTTTTCAATGGAGTTATATATTTTCTAACCATCCCTTCGTCATCAATGCTGTTAATATGTTACACTCTCGGTAACTTGAATAACGGGGCATGGGGTACTCGTGACAATAAGCTTGTTTCTGCTGCTAACCCTGAAACGGTGAAGGTCCCGGGAGAACAAGGTAAGGGACATAACCGGTCACTTGTATCAGGGGCGGCAACTCTTTTTGACACCGTTAAGAGTAAATTTAGTTCTGATTACGTATTTTCCTGTGGTAACCTCGTCCGGTGTATTTGCTGTCCAAGCGTTGCCCTTAAAGAAGAAGACGTAAAACTGAAAGCAATACTGACTAAATTGGAAGGACTAGAAGAACAGTTAGAAGATTTAGTGCCAAATCGAACCGGGAGCACTGAACAGGAATGGAACAAATTGCCATACGTAGCATCAGATGAACCAATGCAAAAATTCTCTGAGAATACAGATTTATTTGTTGGAAGTCGTTGTAAGTACACTACATTCATTCACAAATATAATGACCAATCTAATTAAAATATAGATCTATATTTCGTTTCGTTTTTTATACTTTCGATGGCCTACACTACATGTAGTAAAGACAAGTAAAATCGAAATTTTGAACTATAAAAACGAAACGAAATTGGATCTGTGTTTTAATCAGATTGAATAATAACAAATTTTATTGCACAGTAGTGCCTGGCGGAACTTGGCTAATATTGTAAGTAAAATTCTTAAAATGATAGAAATGACCAAAGCAGTAGTCATATATTCCAATATATTATTATTTTAGTAACCATAATTAGGAAGATAAAGTTACTTGGGGCTGCTTTATAATGGATTCTACCTTAAGAATTTTTGTCCCGTTTCGTTACACTGTCCCTTGCCAGACCCTCTGCCCTGCACCACTGACAAGAGGACGCCACGCCGGAAAATCCCAACGAACCTTCTCGGCCAACACATGAAGGTTCCGTGTTCGATCCCTGTGTTGGCCGCGAAGGTTCGTTGGGATTTTCCGGCGTAGCGTCCCCTTGTCAGTAGTGCAGGACGGCGGACCTGACAAGGGACAACTTATAGTCGTTCGGATGGGATGAAAAGTCGAGGTCCAGTGTACACATTGTCATGCACGTAAAAGATCCCTTGGCAGTTGGAATTTGATATAAAAGTATGGCATATGCCCGTCTTCGTTTGCCCAATCAGGACGTTAAAATTCATTTCATTTCATTTTAAGTACTCCATTTAGAGGAGAATTGAAACACGTCTTTTTAGAGTTTATTTTCTATTTGACAGTAAACCCCGTATATGAAGATGAACAAACAAGGCCGAGCAAACGTAGTTGGAATGAAGACCCTGATCTTGGGACAACAAAGGATTTCAACAACGAGGAGACACAATTTTGGAAGGAACTGATAACAACGTATCTGACACCGATTGAGTTAACTGAAGAACAGGCAAAAGAAGCTGCAGTGGAGATGACTGGCTTGAGGGATAAAGTCTGCTTATTTTTTTATCTCTCCAATGCTCTCTTTGTTACAATTATCTATATTTTAGAAAGTGTCTCCAGGGATAGTCCCGGACTTAGCATCCAATTGCCATGTGACAAAGGAAGAATCGGTCAGAAGATTGAACCAATATCGATAGCATTTACTTTAATCTTTGGGATTCTTTTGGTTACTCAGTTCATTGCTATGATGTTCCATCGGTTCTCCACGTTGCTACACATAGCTGCCACGACTCAGATCCGATGTAGAAAAACGGAACAGGAAGTTGAATTCCTTAGAATGGCCGCCATAAAGCGGTGTAACGACAGATATGGTTCTATCCGATCAATTGATTCTATCCGATCAATTGATTCCATTCCAAGCGACATAACGTTTATGGGGACGAAGGCAGACACTCGTAAATTTGTAAAAAGGTTAACCAGGAGACAGAGGGATGAGGCACGTAGAAAAACAAACAGGTAATAACATTTTAAAGATTTAAAGAGACAGCGCCGGTCAATAAAACAGATACTTAAACACAGACGCGAGATCAATGGAAACTCGTGTAAGCTTGTACCTTAAAGATGCGTTATATAAGATTACAAGATTGAGAGAGAGAGAGAGAGAGAGAGAGAGAGAGAGAGAGAGAGAGAGAGGGAGAGTGAGGGGGGAGAGGGAGAGAGAGAGAGAGAGAGACGTACACTCGACATGAACTAGGTCATTAGGACCCGGAGAAAACCCACGCGGTTAGAGGGGCGACGCTACAACCAGGGGAATTGAAAACACGCCAGTTGACTCAATGACAGAACCTATGATATGCAACACGTATGCGCTAACCAGTCGGCCATCAAACCCGCCTGACAGTTTTCGCTATGATAGTTTAAAAATAGACTATAAAATGATTGTTTGAAGAATAGCGTAGTCTGGATTATCATTGTCACCGTTCTTACGATAATAGCGTCTCGATTATCCATTACTAAATTAAATTATTAAATGGCGAGCGTGTTTCAATCCATTAAACATCACGACCATTCGATGAACTAGAGACTTGATTATGGGCTTGGCATGTGAATAAATATCTCATTAATAATTCATATAGCATTTAACGCCAAAATAAAGAGCTGCAATAGTCAGATCTAGCTCTAACATAATGCATCTTTAAGGGGAGGTAAATTGGTCTAACACGTACCCTCGGGATTCGTCTCCTTACTAAACACCCTACGAGCTACAGAATTATTGAAATAAAACTGTATGTGGATTGGTGAAATGAAATGAAATGGGGTTTAACGTCCTACTGTTCTGCTCTGACTGGGCTAATGAAGACGGGCTTACGCCATAATGTGTGCTATGAGGGAAATTTTGCCCGGATAGCGGCACTACGGCCTACTCTTATATCGAATTCCAATTGTCAAGGGATATTTTACGTACACGACAATGTGTACCATCGGAACGACTAGACAGCTGTCCTTGTCAGGCCCTCTCCATGTTTTCTGGTGTGGTGTATCGAATTTATCATGGAACGAAATTCATAGCTGAGATGACGATCCCTTTGTTACTTTTAGTGCCATTTGTTTAAAAGCCCATAAAAAGAAAGAAATTAATTTGCGAACTTTCACTTTAATCTGGGTAACATAAAAAAACGCCCTAAATTTCTACGAAAAAAAATTACATCGAAAATTGCAGCGGTTTGTCTGCAAAGTAAATAGAAAGGGCGATAAAAGCCAAAGCAATAAATATCTTTCTATAAATAGCTACGGCATACCCCTTTTTCTGGGTAAATATACTTTCAGGACCTCTTGAATGTCGATTTAAATACCGAAGCGAATTAAATCGAGAGAGAGAGAGAGAGAGAGAGAGAGAGAGAGAGAGATGGGGTTTAACGTCCACTCGACACAAACTAGGTCATTTCGGGACTAACATATGGTTTAATTTTTTATTTCAATAATTCGCTTGCGCGTGGGGCTCTTTAGCAGTGGGAGGAAACTGGGGGACCCGGAGAAAACCCACGAGGATGGACAGGCGACCCTACTCCTTGTCACATACAACCGGGGAATCGAAACCACGCCAGTTGACTCAATGAAAGGCCTTATGATACAGCGCATTGCCAACCATTCGGCCAGCCAACCCCCCCGAATTAAATCGAATCTTTTATACCAAATAAATCGATTTTAAATCTTAGTACCTATGATGTTTTTGTTTTTGTAGAGTGTTTGACATTTATAGACGAAATATATCAAGTTTCCAAAAGAACCTAGTATCCTTGGACGTCGAAAACAAAAATTATGACAAATTAGAGAAGGAAGCGAAGAGGCGTTTTGGCGTGATGCCCACAAAGTATGTGAAAACCATCGTCGACATGGCGAAAGACGACGACTTCAAGACGCGGCTGAGCGAACGTACCAAATCTTTAAACGCCTGGCAAAAAGTCAGGAAAAATATCGTTCACGACAGACGACCAGAACCTAAGTTAAGTTCTGTGGTGGAACAGGTCATAGCAAAAACTCGAGCAGATTCTATGATGCCTGAAGACAATAGGCAGGGATCCGCTTATGTCAGTGGTTCACCGTTAACGAGAAAAAGGCCCGTAGTCACTTTCGGTGAAACGTATGGGGAGAGGAAGGACGCAATAGCTCGTTCGTCTTGGGAATCAGCAAGATCTTCCAGTCAACATCCAGCACCTAGAACTAACGCGGACAGGTCATCGTTATGGTCAAAGGTGGCGTCAACGGTTGTGCCAACGTCTGATATGAACCGGTCGTTACTAGTAAATGCAGATATTGTCAACGATGGTGCTACCAACCCGGTCTTCCATCTGGAAGACGAAGGTGTTACCCTTGACGACGAGTATTACGACAGCCATGGGAACGCAATGACTACATTCTAATATAACTATATATTAATTTATTTATTCACCAATACCATGCGTTGTATATAGTGTACAAATATAATGAATGGAATTTTAAAAACAGTGGACATTTATCGTAAAATTACTTCGTTAAACACAATTAAATTACCTTCTTAAGAATACAATGAAAGAATGTACTTCGCGATTCCTGTAGTCTCAATTATATCATTTAAATTGTAAAGCTTTTAACAGTTCCTATAAGTGACCATACTTTTTTACACCCAGAATGCATGGAGGTGTATACTGCCATCATCCACCCACGCATGACGGTATGTCTGTTAAAAATTCTTGTTAAAGGACTTATAAATCGCCAGATTGTCTGAGATTTATTTGTTTTAGACGTGTCATTTATATGTTTGTTCCACTGTTAACCTGATATCATTGATTTACAAACTTAGGCCTTATACTAATAAATATATTTGTCATCAAATCACACACGTGATCAAGATTCTAACCTTGTGTTTATTATGTATAGAAAGTGGTTAGAGAGAGTGAAATTGTGTTTTACGTGCACTCAACACAAACTAGGTTATATCGTGACTAACATATGGTTCACTGTTTTTTTTTTATTGTTTCATTAATTCGGTTGTACGTAGGGGGTCTTTGGCAATGGAAGGAAACCGGGGGACCCGGAGAAAACCCACGAGGTTGAACGGGCGACCCTACTCCTCAGGCAAGTCTCTTAGGAAGCGGACGTAAAACGAACACCAGAAGCACTTGTCTGCGATATCAATTCGGTGGAAGCGGACGTTAAATAAAGCTATTCAAACACTAGCCTATTTAACCTACAGACGTGCTATTTCTAATAAAGATGGATATCACCCACATTAAACAAATAATCCCATAAGGCCCGTGTTATAATCGATTGGTAGTCTCGATCTAGTCCTTTTGTCCAAATATTGAAAAATGTGACCGAAAATTATATAATATTTATTTTTCTTTGTTGCTAAATTTAAAAAAAAATAATTATGCTAATTATGATAAGTATATTTTAGTTATTTTTCTATGTTGCTAAAGTATAAAAAATTAGCATGCTCATTATGTTAAATATTATGCATTTTTGTATGTTACTAAATTATAAAAAATAAGCATGCTCATTTTCATAAATATTATGCCTTTTTGTTTGTTACTAGATTATACAATAATAAGTAAGATCATTATCATAGTATGCCTTTTTGTATATTACTAAATTATAAAATAATAAGCATGCGAATTATCACAATGTTCCTTTTTGTATGTTACTAAATTATAAAATAATAAGCATGCACGTTATCATAATGTTCCTTTTTGTATGTTACTAAATTATAAAATAATAAGCATGCACGTTATCATAATGTTCCTTTTTGTATGTTACTAATTTATAAAATAATAAGCATGCACGTTATCATAATGTGCCTTTTTGTATGTTACTAATTGATACATATTTGTTTTTAGCAAGATCATTATCATGGCGTGCACGTAAAAGAATCCTTAACAGTTGGGTTTCCAAGTAAGTGTAGACCGTTGCGAAGATGTCCGGGCAATATTCCCCTCACGGCACAAGAGGTGTGCCCACGCCCCACGCCTCATCCCTAGGTATATATAACATTTAAGCTTATCTGCATTCTTGTAAACGTAACTAAATATATAATACACTGAACAAAGTGTAGGGGGTGGGAGGAGTCATAGACATTGTAACCGTATTAGAGGATTACATATTTATTAATAGTGTGGACTTACAACGCCAACCATTTTCTGTTTTCATAGTTTTATATATAAATATAACTTGTAATTAAATACATGTAGATACATGTTGGTACTATGATATTCCCACTGCTTGTTGATAAAGATTCCTTTAAATCTGTTGACAGGATCAGGTTAATGCCTGAAATATAATCCATAAATATACAAGTTAATAAATAATTAAATAAATTGTTTAAACAAGAATAAAGATCCTCCCTACTGTTATGCTATAAATACCTAGTGTTATACTAAAATACACTGTAGAGAGGGAGAGAGCGAGAGAGAGAGAGAGAGAGTTAATAATTAAATAAATTGTTTAAACAAGAGTAAATATCCTCCCTATTGTTATACTATAAATACCTAGTGTTATACTAGAATACCTGTATATCTAGAATTACTCTCCTGCCTACTATTATATACTATTCAAAAAACGTAGGGGATATTTGATTTTTAAGTGTTATTAAAGTCACCTAATGAAACTGACGAAGAAACAAATGACAAAATGAAATGAAGTTCACATTCATCTATTTATTCCAAATGATCGTTAGACTAAGTAAGGCACAGACTGACCATTATAAGGGTAAAATGATACCCGGGGTCAAACAGCAAAGTTACCACAGCATCACAACCAAGTCAGTAACGGGTAAATCCTCCTCTGTTTGCCAAACAAGCATTGATCCGACGTGGCATACTCCTAATGAGACGTCTAAGGTCATTTTGGTCCAGATTGTCCCATTCCTGTTGCAACGCAGCAGCAAGTTCTTGGACATTGGCAGGACGTTGTTGACGTTGACGTAACCTCTGTCCAAGCATGTCCCAGACATGCTCGATGGGGGAGAGGTCGGGACTCAGTGCTGGCCAAGGTAATGTGGTGATGTTCTGTTGTTGGAGGTAACCTGTAACGATCCTGGCCCTGTGACATCTTGCGTTGTCATCCTGGAAGATGAAACGGCGGCCATGACGTCGTGCGAACGGCACAACATGGACTGCCAAGATGTTGTCCCGGTAGTACTGGCCTGTAACACGCCCTGCAACAACATGTAAAGCCGTTCTTCCAGCAACAGTGATGCCTCCCCACACCATAACAGAACCACCCCCAAATCGATCATGTCTGATGACGTTAACGTCTTGGAAGCGCTCGTTTCGACGACGCCACACCCTCCTACGTCTGTCCAAAAAATCAACAGTGAACCTTGACTCATCTGAAAACATCACATTGCTCCAGCGTCGATTATCCCAGTGTTGACGATCCCTACACCAACGACGTCTTGCCTGAATGTGATGATCTCTCAAACAAGGGATCACGCGAGGACGTCGGGCGCGAAGGTGACCCCTATGCAGTCGATTCCGAATCGTCTGGCCACTCACTCTCACACCAGTGTCTGTTTGAAGACGAGCGCTGATCTGATTTGCTGTGATGACACGATTTCTCAAGGCCAAGGTACGGATAAATCGATCCTGGGCTTGAGTTGTCGCCCTTGGTCGACCTGAGCGTGGTCTGTCCTGTACAGATTGTGTATCACGGTATCTGGACCATAGCCTGCTTATGACAGACTGAGAAACATTCATCGTCCGCGCCACAACCGCCTGTGTTGTGCCGATCTGTAGCATGCCAAGGGCACGTAACCTTTCATTTTGGGTAAGCCGACGCATATCAAAATTTGTTTTCTGGTCACTAAAACAATTAAACTGATGTTTCCACCCTGGAATTCAATGCCACAATGACTGTAACATTCAAAGTCAGAGTCGTGCAAATCTTGGGTTGGACCCCCATGATGATCCCAAGCATCACCTGCATTCCATGCGGTAGCTATTGGTGCGTTTGGGCGTCACATGTAACTGGAAATGTTTCTTCTGTTAGGTTCTATAGTGATTTTTTTCGTAGTCATTTGCATATTTTAGTATTATGCCCCCAAAATCAAATATCCCCTACTTTTTTTGAATAGTATACTAGAATACCTGTCATCGGATTAGATCTATTTCTTAAGGTCAGCTCCAGATTTCGTCAAGGTCGCTGAGATGTAAATAAGGCTAGGGATGTGATTGTAGGTTAGGGTAAGCCTTTGACCAAATTTGAAATTGGCCTTATGAAATAGATTTAACGCTTTCATGCCCACGGATTTAGTTAAGTTTTCATTAAGCCTTCTTCCACTTAGTATATTTACCTTTAGTTGTCATGTCCCGTGCAGCGGCCGCAATACTCTCATTAGCTACACCTCGTGCAGCATCTTTCACCACAAACGTTTCATAACCTAAAAATAAATATTATAATGTGTTTATAACCTTAAATACATATAATAATGTTTTTGTAATCTAAAATAAATATTAAAATGTTTTTTATAATCTAACATAGTTTCAATCGCCCATATATAAACACATAAATCTTTGGCCCCATTCTTGACTGCACTCGTGGGTGTTTGGTCGTGGTTCCCCTTTGTCAGTGATGCAGGACTGAGGGCCTGACAAAAGAAATGAAATGAAATGGGGTTTAACGTCCTACTGTTCTGCTCCTAAACTGGGCTAATGAAGACGGGCATACTCCATACAGTGTGCTGTGAGGGAAATTTTGCCCGGGCAGCGGCACTACGGCCTACTCTTATATCGAATTCCAACGGCATACGCCATGCAGTGTACTATGAGTGAAATTATGCCCGGACAGGGGCGCTACAGCCAACTGCCAAGGGATCTTTTACGTGCACGCCAATGTGTACACGGGACCTAGGTTTTTTTTATCCCATCCGAACGACTAGACAGCTATCCTTGTCAGGCCCTCCGTCCTGCATCACTGACAAGGGGAAACCACGCCGGAAAATCTGGATGAGCTTTCTCGGCCAATGCAGGGATCGAACGCCCGACCTCCAGGCTAGCGAGCCAGCGTCTTACCCACTTAGCCACGTGATTCCCAGGGCCTGACAAGGACAGCTGTCTAGTCGTTGGATGGAACAAAAACGAGATCCAGTGTGCACATTGGCGTGCACGTAAAAGATCCCTTGACAGTTTGAATTCGATATAAGAGTAGGCCCTAGTGCCGCTGTCCAGGCTAAATTTCCCTGAACAGAACAGTAAGAGGTTAAACCCCATTTCATTTCATTTTTTTTTTCGGTTTCCACGACCTTTGCTCTCTGTGAAAAAATTACTTACCAAGGGTTTTAGCGTCTAAAGCAGTATAATATACACAAAAATCAGAGGCCATCCCTGTAATAAATACTCTCGTTATTTCGTTGTCTTTAAGAACAGAGTTGAGTCGAGTTTGGGTTATCTTCGCATTATCATAGAAGGCTGAATAGGCGTCAATCTAAAATCAAAAGACGAATACATTAAAGTACACAACGGGTTGTTTTTGTCGATGTCCCATCCGAATGACTAGACAGTTGTCCTTGTTATGCCCTCCGACCTGCATGCCAAGGTGTATAATGAGTTTGACACTGTCATAAGCCTTTCCTATGCGTTATCATCTTCCTCTAGTCGCGTAGGTGCTTGTGGCGAGGGTTGGGGTTGGATTGGCACTATAAGTGGAATAACCTAGAATCTCTTTTCATCTTAAAGTTGCAATTTCATATTTTTAAGTTATATTTTTAAAATTTATTAAAATAAAGCCTTACAATAGATGGTATCTATAAACAGTCCTACCTTGTTAAAGAATTAATCCTATTAATCCTATAATTCACTATTGCCAGTTGAGAAATTGGCAAAAATATCATTTTCATCTTCAAATTCCAACGTTTGAAGGTAACTACTCCATGGTGGAGAATAGAAAACAAGGGAGGTAGTAATTGGGGGGGGGGGGGGGGTAATTGTGTTATTATTTCCGGTGTAAATGAGTTAAGTGTGAGAATGACACCTATGATCGTATAATAGTGAGTTGACAACCTATTGAGCAAAAGACATAGAAATAATTATGTTTTGACTTTGTTAGAAAATATGAAATTGTACTTTAACCAGGCACTGATTAGACCACTACGTAGTTTTCTACTTGCCCGGTGTTAATAGGCAATATGGAACCAATCATATTCTAGAACAACAATGCGGGATCGTACAGTAAACAAAGGGGGGGGGGGGTAATAATTACGTAAGCATTGTGGGTGATAACCATATGAGAATACTTGTCGAAACGTCGTTCTTGTGTAATAAAACCAGTTTTTGTTCCCAATAAAAATCGTGTTCCGTGAATGTGTTTCGCAATCGCTAAATGCTACTTAAAGATTGTGAATCAAAGAGAATCAGCTCTTTAAAGGGACAATAATACTCTTGCTGGCTTGACAGCTTCAGAAAATAAATAATAGCCTTATTCTAAGTATTAGATGTTTAAATGTCCTACCTGCTGTGTAAATTATCCATTAAATCCTATTTTACTTGTCCAGAGGGTTCGAAAATATTTTTAAATCCAAGTCACATTTGAAAAGGTTTACGTTAGGCTTCTTAAATCATTTAGTTGAATTTTTCCAATTTTTTTAAATTAGGTGTGTTAAGATGAAATTTGTAACATAAATTAATTGGAATATTGTAAAATAGTACAATTTGTTGACCAGAATAAAGATTGGGACATATTATTCAGTTACAACAAGAGTGGTATTGAGCCTTTAAGGTTAGATCTATTTCATAAGGCCAACTTCAAGCTTTGATAAATTACAACAAACAACAATTTTATAACGGGCTATATTTTAGTTAAAATAAGGCGAACAATTTTAAGTAAATTCTTAAGCCTGAGAATGCTTTGCGAACTCATGGCCTGATTCTCATAGAGTTCGATGACGCGACACGACTAGATAGGCCTCATATTTTAAACACAAAAACAACAAGATACCATAATATAGATAACGGACTGGTATGTTTTACTCTAGTTCCATGTACAGGGGACCTAGTCAAAGCAGGTACTTAGTCAAACCTAGATAACAAACCTTGTCTCTCATCAACCCTCCGTGTTTCGAGATAAGATATGGTGCTATATAGTTCCACGTAGCAAAGCCAAACGCAAATCATGATCACATCGGGTCTCAATAAGCAAAATTGACAATATTTTTCATTAAAACGACGATTGATTTTTGTTATTTATAATATTTCTGCCACGTACAACTACAATCAAGCATATAATCCTACCTGAAATTGGTATAAATCATCGTATTTAAAATTGAGGCGTTAAGCCGTTACTAGGAACGCCATTTTTAAACGGGAGATGTATAAAAACAACGCTTCATTAATTTAAACGCGAATATTGGCCTCTGTAAGTTTAATTAGTCATAATAGTATAAAATGATCTTATTTTTAAGATGTTACATGCATTTATAAAGAAATTGAGTTTACCACTTGGAACTAAAGGCACCCAATCGTAGCTAAAAACAAGCACATCGGTATATCTCAAAGTTTTAAGATACGTTCTCGTAGCTAAGTCAAACCACTACACCGGAAGTGCACAATACCGGCTATAGTTTAGTCAGAATATACATATACGAGTACCTGTTCGTGTAGAAATATTTCAGAGAGAGAGAGAGAGAGAGAGAGAGTTTAACGTCCACTCGACACAAACGAGGTCATTTCGGGACAAACATATGGTTTAATCTTATTTCAATAATTCGCTTGTGCGTAGGGGTCTTTAGCAGTGGGAGGAAACCGGAGGATCCGGAGAAAAAGTTAGACAGGCGACCCCACTCCTTGCCACGTAGAAATATTTCATAACACAACACATCAATCGTGTAAAAACCGATGAAGACATACCCCACACTTCTGTCCTTTGTAAATAATGACATCGGCATCTTCTCGGATCAAACCGGGGTCTAACTTGGATGAGGTAGGTCCTTGTGAGATATTTTTAATACAGTGGTCTGGCCATAATGTTTGAATGACATGGGTAGATACCGTAGAACAATTAACGGCATAAACGAACTCGCTACCAACCGCTTCACCGTAACACAGCTCACCTACAAAATAGCAACAGGCCTACATACATCGACATCATTTCCGGACGGGGGAACCACGTGGCTAAGAGGGTAAGACACTGGCTCGCTAGCCCGGAGATCGCGTGTTGGCAAAGAAAGATCATCGGAATTTTCCAACGTGGTTTCTCCTTGTCAGTGGTGCAGGAAGGAGGGCCTGACAAGCATAGCTGCCTAGTCGTTCGGGTGGGACACAAATTCGAGGTCCCGTGTAAACATTGGCGTGCACGTAAAAGATCCCTTGGCAGTTGGAATTCGATATAAGAGTAGGCGATAGAGAGAAAGAGAAATGGGGTTTAACGTCCACTCGACTAAGAGTAGGCGATAGTGCCGCTGCCCGGGCAAAAGTAACCTCATAGCACACTGCATGGCGGATGCCCGTCTTCATCAACCCAGTCAAAGCAGAACAGTAGGACGTTAAACCCCATTTCATTTCATTTTCATTTCCGGGCGATAAAAAGGAAACAGCTTTTGGATAATACAAATTCCATCAGGCCTTCAGTAATTCTATGTAATAATCTATACAAAGCACAAACCGCCAATGGCAAGGGGCCGTGTCTAGTCGTTCGGATAGAACGATAAACCGAAATGCGAGGAACGTAAAGTTTGACAGTTGAACTAATAATATGCCGTGGTACCGCTGCACGTGCAGTAGTTACCTTATCGCACTCTACGAATGGAGTTTGCATTATCACGGTTGTTGCAGAAAGTATGATGTCAAACACCATTTCATTTTCTTCGGGTCTGGCAAGGGACAACGTATAGTCATTAGGATGGGGTAAAAAAGCGAGATCCTGTGTACACATTGGCGCAAAATTCGATATAAGAGTTGGCCCTAGTGCCACTGTTCTGGCAAAATTTTCCTCATAGCACACTGTACCCCGTATGTCCGTCTTCATTAGCCCAGTCGGAGAACAGTGGGACGTTAAACCCCATTGTATTCCATTACTCACCTCAATCAACAAGGATTAAGGCCGAAAAACAGAGGTCTAGTGTGCACATGGGCGTGTATGTAAAAGAACCGTTAACAGCTGTCTGGGCAAAATTGCACTCCCGTCCCACTGTATGGTGCATGTTTGTCTTCATTAGCCCAGACCTTGAAGAAAAATAGGACGTTAAACCCCATTGTATTCCATTACTCACCACAATCAACAAGGATTAAGGTTCAAATAACACACTATTTATGGATAACAATTACTGTGGTTTATTTCACTGCAACGTTTCAACAAGATTTCACAAGTCGTTATCAAGCATATAACACAAATTATTAAGGTTATATTTACTTACTTGTATAGAGAGACCAACGTAGATAGATTCTGAAATCTATTCAATTTGGATTTCAATAATAATATGATCTCGGAAATATTGTCGCGACGCGAAATGCTTTTGTGTAAATCCGAAATACGCACCAATTATTCTTACCTTGTGAGTTATAAGTTAAATTAATTGTTTGACCGGGTTGATATCCTGTATGTTGAGAGGCAAACGAAACATGATCAGAACAATGCCAATCTTGGGAGAATACGACCAAGTCTAAGCTGTTCTTGTAATCATTCCTGATGCTGTTGATAACTGGTATGATATCATTGCCTCCTGGCACTGCCAAATTACCACCTTTCAGAAAGCAGTCTTGGACATCTATGATGAGTAGAGCATTTTTAGAATTCACTCCCCAAAGACACAATGCCGAGAAAATAAAAAAGTAACAAGGTACCATTTCCGCACAAACTTCTGTTCTGAAATGAAAACAAATTATTATTATGTACATATTGCCGATAAGTACCCCTTCGCGTCGCTAAAGGGGTGGGGGAGGGCACGAACCGATGGTGGATAGACTGCTTACTTGTCTCACAGGAACTCCAATTGAGAGTGAAAGTAAACTTCACCTACTAACAACACCTTTCGTGACTAACTAAAAAAGCCAAAGGCTCCGCCCATTCAAGTAGGATCTATATGAAACTTGGCATGTTTGTTCCTGGGACATGTGCGCGCGCATCGATGTATTCGTTCCTAAACCATGACGCACACAAGCACAATCTGTTTCACAGAGAATTACAAGTCTAGTGATATATCTCTGTCAAAGATGACTGTCTTAACACGTGCTGTCACAGCACGCAGCGTCAATCATTGGCTGAATGGCGCGTGCATTGTTTACATAAGACGTTACTGCTTCGGAGAAAATGCTGCATTTTAGTCATTTTAATACCCATTTACACTAAATAGGAAATAATTTTTACCTACAAATACGTCAAACGCCTTTATTTATTTTTCCAATACATAAAAAAAATGTTTTAGAATTTAATTTGTCGCAGGAAAAAAGTTAATATTTCTGGCTCATTAAGCCGCATCCATGTCATCCTTATCAGTGATTGTAGCGGCCTAGCAAATATTCACTGCGGATCAGTGTGACACAAGCATTGTATGGGTGACATATAACATGACGTAACTATCTGTAGCTCCTCCTTCCTACCTTAACTGAGACTTGAGAGAGTCCGGCGAAACCGCATACTATTCATGCTGTACAAATATTTGACTTGCATTCATATCATAGGTCATATGGTATATTCTCCATGGCCACGTTGATTTAGTGATATCCGAGCAACTCAATAATTTCAAAATTTCAAATTGGCATTGTCACGGTAAAAGTCAATGTGTCGAGCACAAACGAACCTGTGTATATCACACAGAGAGAGGTGTGGGGGGGGGGGGGGGGAGGGCGCCTGACCAACCTCGTGGATTTCCTTCCAAGTGAATTATTAACAACATTTTGAACTATGTCAGTCCTGAAATGACCTAGTAGTTTGTATAGAGTGGATGTTTAACCCCATTTTTCTCTTTCTCTGGTGATGGTGTGTGTGTATGGGGGGGGGGGGGGCTGAATGGTTAGCATGTGTGCGCTGTATCATAAGGTCTGTCATTGCGTCAACTGGCATGGTTTCGATTCTCCGGTAGTACGTAACAAGAAGTAGGGTCGCCTGTCCAACTTCGTGGGTTTTCTCCGGGTCCTCCGGTTTCCCCCACTGCTAACGACCTCTACGCGCATGCGAATCATCGAAATAAAATTGAACCATGTCCCGAAATGACCTAGTTTGTGTCGAGTGGACGTTAACCCCCCTCTCCCCCTCTCTCTCTCTCTCTCTCGGGGATCACGTGGATAAGTGGGTAAGACGCTAGCTCGCTAGCCTGGAGGTCGGGTGTTCGATCCCTGCATTGGCCGAGAAAGTTCATCCAGATTTTCCGGCGTGGCTCTCCCTTGTCAGAGATGCAGGACGGAGGGGCTGACAAGGAAAGCTGTCTAGTCGTTCGGATGGGACGAAAAACCGAGGTCCCGTGTACACATTGGCGTGCACGTAAAAGATCCCTTGGCAGTTGGAATTCGATATACGAGTAGGCCGTAGTGCCGCTGTCCGGGCAAAATTTCCCTCATAGCACACTGTATGGCGCATGCCCGTCTTCATTAGCCCAGGTTAGGAGCAGAACAGTAGGACGTTAAACCACATTTCATTTCATTTCATTTCATTTCTCTCTCTCTCTCTCTCTCTCTTGTACATTTCGATCGCCATGTTAGTTAATAAAGAAACAACTTTTGCCATCAATGTGGCCTGATTGCGGAAAAATCATTTCGCAATGTACGCAATCTGGTTCGTAGAGGTAATGCGAAAGCCTTCTTTTAACTCTGTAGAATATTATACGTCAACGTGTGAGGTCACATCATACGGCCTCGACAGCAGTTGCTTTGTTTATCTCGGCCGTAGTAACGCAAACTGATCCGTTGTGGCATCTCGGGACTAACATATGGTTCAGTTTTATTTCCATAATTCGCCTGCGCGTAATGGTCTTTGCTAGTGGGCGGAAACGGGAGTACCCGGAGAAAACAGACAGACGACCCTACCCCTTGTCAAGTACAAGCGGGGATCAAAACCACACCACATAAATTAATGACAGACCTTATGATTTCACGCACACGCGTAAACCATTAGACCACCCAACACGCCTTACGCTTTAGGGTTTACTTTGGAATTTTTAGCAGTGGGAGAAAACTCACGAGGTTGGATAGGCAAAAGCAAATTTAGACCTAATTCATTTCATATTGTCTCGTATGAAATGAAATGAAATGGGGTTTAACGTCCTACTGCTCTACTCCTAAACTGGGCTAATGAAGACGGGCATGCGCCATACAGTGTGTTATGAGGTATCGAACACCCGACCTCCAGGCTAGCAAGCCAGCGTCTAACCCATTTAGCCACCGTGACCCCCAATCACGTATGGACATAAAGATATTTTCCATTATGCTTATCCGCATATCGTAATCGTATAGAAGGATAATCTGTTAGTTGACCTTTAATACAGGTATAAATTATAAAGGTCTACTCGTCCGTCTTATGATGACACAGGTGATCGTTATATTGTACTAACAACTAAAGCATTTCGTGTCGCGACAATACTTCCGAATATTATATTATTATTGAAATCCAAATTGAATAGATTTCAGAATCTATCTACGTTGGTCTCCCTATACAGGTGAGTAAATATAACCTCAATCCTTGTTGATTGTGGTGAGTAATGGAATACAATGGGGTTAACGTCTTACGTTTATTCAAGGTCTGGGCTAATGAAGACAAACATGCACCATACAGTGGGAGAGAGAGAGAAATGGGATTTAACGTCCACTCGAAACAAACTAGGTCATTTCGGGACTAACATATGGTTTAATTCTATTTCAATAATTCGCTTGTACGTAGGGGTCTTTAGCAGTCGGAGGACCCGGAGAAAACCCACGGGGTTGGACAGTCGACCCTACTTGTCACGTACAACCAGGGATTTGAAACCACGCCAGTTGACTCAATGACAGGCCTTATGATACAGCGCGCACATGCTAACCATTCGGCCATCCAACCCCCCCCCCCCCCGCACCATACAGCAGGACGTGAGTGCAATTTTGCCCAGACAGCGGCGTTACGACCGTCTCTTATATCGAATTCCAGCTGTTAACGGTTCTTTTACGTACAATAGACCTCTGTTTTTCGTCCCATCCAAACGCCTAGACACTATTTCTTGTCAGGTCCTAAGTCCTGCACCACAGACAAGGGGAAACCACACCAGAAAGTCCCTTGATGCTGTCTTGGCCACCACTGGGAACGAACCCAAGATATCCTCGAGCGAGCCAAGACCTTACTCTCTGAACCAGTGGTGAGTAATACAGGTGGACTATTAATGAGCAGATCCTGACATGTTGTTTTTATATATAAACAATATTTTCATTCAGATTTGTTTCTGAACAGGGCTTGGGGGACAGGCATAGCTTATATCAAACCCCTCAAACTGTCAGATATAGATACATGTGTTTACATTTTATAAATAAATATACAATGCACAAGGGACAGTCATTATGTCATAACTAGTTATTCATAACAAAACACAACACAGGGTATATACGGATATGACTACTTCTCTATTATTTAATAACGACATTTCGTATCACATGCAGGTCACGTTTTCAAGTTAAGGATAAATAATCTAGTCAGCCTATTTACACATATTTTAGCTAAAACTAATCTGATTATAGTTGTTCCTGGAACCGTCTGGTGTTTTCGAAAATAAGTGGACAGTTTCAACATGTCCCAGATTGTCCAAAATAATATTAACTATATAGTATAGTGTTATTAAAAATAAAAATATTTTGAACAAATATTCAACAATCTTAAAAAAAAAAATTTGAGTCAAAATTTCAATTAAAATATGTCATAGTCTGAAAAATTTATCCAAATAAAAAGTCCCGATAATATAAAACTTGTTCTCATTGGAGTAGACGTGACCACCACAACCATTTATAAACCACTTTATAACTGGCTATTTAAATAAATAAAATATCCTACCGTTTATGAAACGTCCCGATTATTAGCTGGCATAGATACAACTTGTTCTCATCAGAGAGGTCGTGACCACTTCGATTCCACTGTTCACACAAACTAAATTTACGCTGTAATCTGTCTACAATTAGCGCCGCTTGAAAACAGACACAAAGCTAGCTGACCGACACACGCAGACGGCTTGTCAAAGTCGTGTCGAACTACATGTACTAGTAATTTGTCAATCTGTTTCACAAAGAATTACGAGTCTCGTATAATATCTCTGTCGTAGATGACTGCCTTAACTGAATGGCGCGTGCATTGTTTACATAAGACATAACTGCTTCGGAGAGAATGCTGCATTTTAGTCATTTTAATACCCATTTACACTAAATCGGAAATAATTTTTAACTACAAATACGTCAAACGCCTTTATTTATTTTTCCAATATATACAAAAAATGTTTTAGAATTTAATTTGTCGCAGGAAAAAAGTTAATATTTCTAGTTCATTAAGCCGCATCAATGTCATCCTTATCAGTGATTGTCGCAGCCAAGCAAATATTCACTGCGGATCAGTGTAGTAATTTGTATGTTCGTTTCAACTTTTTCTTTTACTACATGCGTACTTACCTTTGTTGACATTTATGTCTAGGTTTCGATGAATGATAATAGAGGCAGGACCAGGATGTAAACAGATATACGAAAATGACGTCACAGCCTAGCGTATAGATTCTTTAACCAGGCATTAAAATAAATTGAAATGAGTCAACACTCTTCAATACTTTTTTTTTTTTAATCAAATTATTGTAGTATTTAGGCTCTTTTTTGGTTGTAAACAGTATGATCATAAAAACGTTTAGGAAAATTTTACAGGCCGGGGATATGTTTGTAATATCGAACTTCCTTGTTGTGTTTCCTTTGTGATCGTAATAAAACTACAGGTTAGTTCGTTTCAACAACTTTATTGTTAAACTAGTTGGCTTCGAAGGTCCCTCGTTCTAAATAAAGCATAGATGATGGCTGTTCGGAATATTTGGGTAAGCTCTGATCAATTCCGCTCAACACCCTCTTTTATAACCCCCTTATTTCTGCATGTTATAGACCATTACCTTATTTGGTCTACCACACACACGTCATAAACAGATAGAATTTGATGGATATTTTGACAATGGTAAGGATTTTACCAAAATTTCACTGTTTTCTGTTTTATATATTTATAAACATGTAATTGATTTTCATTAGTTCGTGGGATTTAACTCTATAGCGAATGTTAACAATTAATGTATAAAGATACACCATGGTCTTAAGGGCCATACAACAAAAGAGCGTCCGTGAGTAATTTTCATAGAGTATGACATTTTTGGTATTTAGAGATTGATATCCGAGTCACATTTGGTCTGTTCTTCACAGTCGTTTATTCTTATTTCTTCATTTGTTGTCGTATTTGGCCATTTGTCATTTGTACACTAAAATTAAAATTTGTATCTTAAAATCAATATTTGTTTTACAAATCAGACACTTGTCCTGATATGGGAAATCTGACTGAAAAGGGAAGCAGTCAGTGATGGCTCAGTGAGTAGGACGTTGGCTCGCTAACTCGGAGGTCGTTCTATCCTGACGTGGGTAGAGAGAGTGGGATTTCCTGTCGTGACCCCCCCCCCCTCCCCTCCCCTCCCCTCCCCCCCCTCCCCTCTTCCACCCATTGACAAGGAACAATATATAGTCGTTCTGTCGGCTTGAAGACCGATTGGACTGATGTTGCTTCTGTGGATTTCCCGGCCATGGTATCATTTTGGATAATATATATGAAATATATGTATGTCATATCTGTGAAACTAATTAAAACATATCTTCACCAAATTTGCAGGAGGAGGTCTACAGCAGAATAGAACCATTACAAAGAAACATTATCATGGCAACATTTTTTAAACATTATTTATTACTTTTCCTAACTATTTGTACCAGTTCCAATTCTATAGCTTTGAAATTGAAAATAAATCTGGTAGCCCCACTTCACCCCTAAGAATAGGTTTTAAAAGCAAGCTAAAGAACAATCTGATTACAATACAGATCTATATTTAGTTTCGTTCTTGTATACTTTCTATGGCCTACACTACATGAAGATCTGACCGGTTGTACTGGAAGGTCGCGTCGGGGGGTCGTACTAGCGGCTCTTGACTCTATGATGCTAGACATTGATTAATCAATCAGCGTTGACGTTTCTAGTGGTTTACCCACAATTCCGTGCATCGCACGCCAAGAACCCACCGTAACAGATCGTTTCATTGGCTAATCCCTCACTTCAACCAGAACGCCGGTAATATAACAACTCATCCAGATCCTAGTGTAGTAAAGTAAAAACGAAATTTTGAATTATAAAATACGTAACGAAATAGGATCTGTGATTTAATCAGATTGGAGGGCCTGACAAGGACAGCTGTCTAGTCCTTCGGATGACACGAAAAACCGAGGTCCCGTGTATACATTGGAATGCACGTAAAAGATCCCTTGGCAGCTGGAATTCGATACAAGAGTAGGCGATGGTGCCGCTGCCCGGGCAAAATTTCTCTCATAGCACACTGTATGGCGTATGCCCGTCTTCATTCGCCCAGTATAGGAGCAGAACAGTAGGACGTTAAACCCCATTTCATTTTTAATCAGATTGGCTGAAGAAGGTCTACCAGTTTGTTTCCTTTGATTTTGTAGGAAACACGGTGACCTGTCATAGTTCATTCAGTTATATATATAGAACTCTGTACTATAAACTTGTTGTTTTGGTCCAGGAATCCCGACTTGGAATCTGTAAAAGTGTCCCAGTCTATATGGTTGTACGAACCATATCCGGCACCACCAGGGAAAAATTTATATGTATGTTCTTTCACTACGGTCTTTTTATCGTCTGTTAAGTTTAACAGCTCTAGTGTGAACCTAGCTTTAAAAGATTTGCCATTCTTATCTTCAGATTTCTTCAAGGCTAGATAAATACCCAATGAAGAGGTCCCCTTAAAATGCTTAACTTGTAAACACCAGGGCATGCCTTGTGTCATGAACTCATCGCCGCAATAGAGACCGTCTGTCTTCACCAGCTTCAAATCAAACGTTGTTATCAAATTTGATGTGATTGTTAACAATTCGCCCATTAGTTTCTTTAATGGTTCTTTGTCTATCTCCACCAATTGATAATACGGATGGCTTACCACAGGCGTGTGTATATTTTCTGATATGTCGAAATCGGTTGTGGCTTTCACCTCCGACAACACACACGGATCAAAGGTTGTGAATATAGATTTTTGTTGTAAAACACAAGCAGAATATTCACACCATTCTTTCATTGTAGATGCAACATTGTCAACATCTTCTATCAGTTTGGTTATTTTAATGTTTTGCTGATTCTGTAATTGGAGAATTTCGTCTTTAATACCATCACCCATCCTCTTGGCTCTTTCATGGATTAAACCTACTTGTTTATCTACATTACTACAGGCTCTCTTACATGAGTTGTTCACTTCCGATAAGTTAGCTTTTAGAAAGTTAGAATGTTCTTGAAGCTGCTGAAGTTTAACTTCGGATGCGGTTTTAAGTTTCAGAAATGCTTCTCTCAAGTCGACCTCTGCCGCGTCCAAATTAATGAATGTGTGGTTCGTATGATCCATATTAACACAATCTGAACAGCATGGTTGTAGACAGTTATTACAATAAACTTCTATTTCTTTCTCCTCGTGTTCGCTACAGTATAATTCATCATCTTCATCATTATCTTCTAGACTAATGTCATCGGCAACCTGGCTAGCACCACCTCCAGGAAGCTGGATTCTTTCCGAACAGATTAGACAGCTGAATTTGTCGAAATCAGAATGTGTCTTAACAACCTCATTGACACATTTCTCACAGAATATGTGCAGACAAGGCAGGGGTTTGGGTTCGTCAACAATATCCAAGCACATCGAGCAGGAATGTTTAGAAGCCATTTTGTTTCAGGTACAATATGTGTGTGAGTGTTGATTATAAATGGCGACGATCCACCCACTGTTCAAGGTACACTGAAGTATTATGACTGTGTATTATATATATACTTTTATCTATTAATGTTACATATCTGATACAAAATATCCATTTCGTCCTATCTGATAATGATCTCCATTTAATAACTATTATCGCTATTTGACGAAAGTGGATGAATAAGCACGAATTTAAAGTTGGTTGACGTTCAAGTTATTAAATTCGATTTGAAGACTTTGTAGACTCTTAGAATTAGAAGCAGGGCGCCGGAACGTCCGAGGGGCAGGTCTTTTCTCGCCCTGCGGGATTGAGACGATTGACGTCTTCTGTTAGGCTACCAGTTAAACTCTGTCAGGTCTAAATACAACTTAGATAACTAGAATCAATAACCGATTCGGTTCACGTCGACGTAGAGTATCGAACAAAAATCTTGAATCCTGTTTTTATACAATTTCATCTGATGTATTAAAAAATATAAAATCTTATCATGACATAGTACGGTAACGTGTACTTAACTGAAGTATATTTTGCGCTGCAGCAAACTGTTCGAACCCGCAATTAAAGTCTCCACTTACTAACCGGAGACGAGCACGAGGATCCCCCCCCCCCTTACTTAAGGAACCAATGCTCGAAAACATATCAACTGTTAAAATCGTTGAAGAGTTGAAGCGAGAAGGACGGTCAGACAATCTCATTGCTGGTGTACGAAAAACAGCCAGCAAAAAAATAATAGGCAGCAGGGCAAGCAGGTAATGGCACCTATAGCTCCGCCGTTCCGGCGCCCCTGACTAAAAGTTGTATTGGATGTTCATTATTAAAGCGTTTACGCGATCGTGATGACGTCACTCTCGCGAGTTGTCATCCGACATGATGTTCAATTCAAACGAGATTTACCACCACCCATTTGTGTAATGAAATGGGGTTTAACGTCATACTCCGACTGGGCTATTGAAGACGTGCATACCCATACAGTGTGCTATGAGGAAAATTTTGCCCAGGCAGTAGCACTATGGCCTACTCATCGCATTCCGACTGCCAATGGATCTTTTACGTGCACACCAATGTTTACACGAGACCTCATTTTTGTTCCATCCAAATGACTAGACAGCTGTCCTTATCAGGCCCTCCGTCTCGGTCAATGCTGGGATCGAACAAGAACAATGCAGGGTGGCGAATGTGGACAAATAAATAAGTTAATATGGTTTAAAGTTTATTTTGTATATGTACATATACACATGTTTCAATGTTGTTAAACACATGCACATACAATGAAGCATGAGAAAATGCTACAATAGGATTAAATGTTACTGATCACATGCAGACCCCAAAAATACTGGACATTTTATACAGATCAATATTCACTCCAATTGAAGTAGACAGTATTGATCCAGACTAATTAATCAAACAATTAATACAGTCTATTTTCATTATGTCTCCATGATCCAGACTTTTTTTTAAATATAAAAACATTTAATACTTCCCCTTTTCCCATGTAACCCCCCCCCCCCCCCCCCAACTACATTATAGATCACAACACACGATAGAGAAGTGTTAAGAAGAGTGTTTTTCTATTAGTTTTATTAGTGGATAAACTATAAAATACTATTTAAAATAGATCAACTGAAAGGAGGAACATAATTATTATCTGGTATCCCCCAATAATGGCCTTCAATTAACCAAGTCCAGAGGAGTTCACAAAGTATTCTTAAGTTAAAAATTTACACAATTTTCAATCACTGTTTATGAGAAATTTCTTTGATCCAAAAACAAAAAACGTTGAACATAGTTTCTTATTGATGTATTTGCTACATTAAAACAACAAAAGTTTTATAAATGGCTATATGTTAGTTAAAATAAGGTGAATAATTTTTAACTTAGTCTGGATTGCTTTGTAAACTCGGGGCCTGTTTCTCAAGAACCTAATTTTCTCGGGGCTGGATTTCCCAACTTGCAGGACTTGGGCCAAACTCATTATACAGTAGGCCTTTTGAGTTTGAATATATTATATAATGAAATACCTGGTGTACACTTAAAACAAGGTTATACGCTGACAGACTGCGTGTCAAATTAGTTTCAGTTGGCCACTAGCGGGGCCCAGGCCTACTTTACCTATTGTTAAATCCAGCCCTGTATCTTCTGACAAATTATTGCTATCTAAGGGTAATTTGGATCGAATCTTATAAGCAGGCCTGGAAATAACGGTTTTAGATGTAACTGACATAATGTCAGACACTAATGAAATAGTACCTGAAATTTTTAACTTAGTGCCGGAAATGTATTAAAGATACATTATGTAAGATTTAGATAAAGAGCTAGCTATTCTTGCTATAATAGTTCGAAAATAGATCATGTAAAATAAATAATTTAAAAATTTCATTCAAATTACTCTATTGCGAGCAAAGATATTAGCCTTTGAAGGTTTGATAAGATGTGTGCAATAATTTAAACCACCGTACTGGTTGTTCGAAGCCAAGTCTCGCTCCTCCATTTTTAGTTTACATCAAAATATGTCTGAACCGTTCTAATCTATTTAATATCGCAGAAATCCGATGCCATCGAGAGTTGATTATGGCTTGGATCAGTTAATTAATGTGTAATTAATAATTTAGAAAACATTTCAGGCCTAAATAAAGACCTGCAATAGGCAGATTTAGCTCTTGCATAATGTATGTTTAACAATAACTATAAAAGACAAATCAGTGCCGGACAAAATGTGCCTTATTTCCAGGCTTGCTTAATTATAAGAGCTACATAATTTAATATTATGACTTAACCACATTGTAAGCTCATTCAAACATTTTTATTAACTGACTTCATATTAAACAGATTAAAACACTTTTCAAGAAGTTCATCTCCGTCTTCAGCATCTAACGCAACTGTTTTGTATATGTATATAGAATAAAGTTCAGCCAATGGATTTTTCACTTCTTTTTAGCTGCTGTTAATCCAGCTCCAGCGTTAAATTTAAAGAAAATAATGTCGCCATCTTCCACCACGTATTCTTTACCTTTCTGTTTATATTTACCAGCATTCTGTAAAAAAAAATAATCAGAAATTAAATTGAGAGAAGGTTGGTTGGACAGGCGACCCTACTCCTTGTCACGTACAACCGTTCCCCTCCCCCTACTCCCCAAAGAGAGAGAGAGAAATGGGGTTTAATGTCCACCACTCAACACAAACAGGGTCATTTCTAGATTAACATAAAGTTCTATTTTATTTCAATATTTCGTTTGCGCGTAGGGGTCTTTAGCAGTGGGTGGAAGCCGGAGGACCCGGAAAAAAACCCACGAGGTAGGACAGGCAACCCTACTCCTTGTCACGTACAAACGGAGAATCGAAACCACGCCAGTTGACTCAATGACAGACCTTATGATACAGCGCACACACACTAACTATCCGGCCATCCAACCCAACCAAATGAAATTAAAACAGGCATTAGTAATTTTTGGGGGCAAGAGAGAGAGAGAGAGAGAGAGAGAGAGAGAGAGAAATGGGGTTTAAGGTCAACTTAACACATATTAGGTTATTTCATTACTAACATGAATTTCAATTTGATTTCAATAATTTGCTTGTGCATGGGGGTCTTTAGAAGTGGAAGGAAATGGGACGAACCGGAGAAAACCCATGAGGACTGACAGGTGACCCTAGTCTTTTTCACAAAAAAGTGGAGAATGGAAATCACACTACTTGACTCAATGCCAGACCTTGTGATCTAAAGTGCATGAATTGGTTTAAACAGTATTTTATTCAGGAGAATATTAGTATTAACTATATCATTTAAGAGAATATAAATGAATAGGATGCAGTAACAAGGAAAACTGCTTATATAAAACCATTCAGGCACCCAACCCTCTTACTCTTATATTTAATGACCCCAAATAAATGATAATGAACTTTTCTTAATACATACTTTGACAGCTGCTTCATTTCCATATTCCTTGAAATCAGTAAATGACATGACTTCAGCCATTATAAACCCTTTCTCAAAATCAGTGTGAATTTTTCCAGCAGCTCCAGGGGCCTTCGTTCCAACCTGTGTGATAAGACAACATTATGTTAAACCATCCTACATCACAGTGCTCTCATTTCAAACAGTTTCTATTCAGTCAATTTTCAACATTTTTTCAATCAACATAGTAACCAAGAAGCTAGAGCAGTTAGGAGCTAAACTTTCAAACTTTTCAAAAAGATTGCATCATAAATAGAGCCTAATGAGGCGCTTATAAATTTCATAACAAAGGGGAATAACTCTAGGAATCAGAAGGGTTGTTTCAATAGCAATAAGAGGGGTTTAACTTCCTACTGTTCTGCTCCGAATTGGGCTAATGATGACGGGCATACGCACTGACAGTCAACATAAATTTCAGCAAAAATAAATTAATAATGCAACTTATAAAGTTAACACTTTATCTAACTCTAATATGTTTGATTTTACAAGTAAAAATTTTTTTTCACAGATCAGTAATGAAATGAAATCTAATCCACTACTTTTCTGCAGGCTGTCTTTGCCTTTCTGACAAGGGAAAACCACAACAGAAATTTACAAGGAAAAGTCTCGACCATCAACGGGAGCCGACCCGTGACCTTCTGGTTAGTGAACCAGCATTTTAGAAACAGCCAAATTTACTAAAAACAAATACATGATATTTAATGGTGACAAGTGACATTATTACAGGGATCGAATTTGACGGACGCAAACACGCAAAATGCGTGTTGATTTTGTAGACTGCGTGTTGCAAAATATGTCACACGAAAATTAATGCGTGTAACATTTTTTCGCTTATTGTTACTGAATAACATGATATCTTCTACGCAAAATCAAGACCATAATTATGACAAAAAACGGAAATTCTTTTGATTATTTTCCTTCCTTGCAAATTGTAAATAAAGCGATGTCCACATCTGGCGTTTTGTGACATCTGCGCATGCGTCAAGTATTCAGATTTCTTCATCAGACAGTCGGAATTCTTCAGTTTTTTCCCGAGCTGATCGTTTTTATTGTGATAAAAATCTTATATTTTATCGGCTAGGAGTTTACCCTATTCAATAAAAACAATACACACATATCATAATTGACCTCTTTTAGTGTTTGACTATCTGTCCTTTCAATATTGTCGTTATATTCCATCAAACAAATTTGACATCTGTCAACAATATACGTTATGTTATTGGCGAATAGCTTTCAAGTTTCACGCGACACAGTTTATTAATAGTAAAAAAAAAACCACGTACCATCGCGGTTTTGATTTTTCTGGATGATATTTAACATAAATATTGAAAAAGTGTTTTCCTGTTCAATTTCTATTCATCTTGACACATTGTTTATACCGATACTTTGATTTTACAAAGGAATCATTGATTTTCAGATTGAAATAAATTTTAATAAAGCAGAAATATAAATAATGCCAACATTGCCAACTATATATTTTGAGAGTTCCGGTAGACTGATTCAGTGACTAATCACTGATTCTGCGTCGGACGTGTCATGCTTAGCTGTCCGTGATCTGAAAAATCGCTATTTGACTAAATCAATGGACACCTTTTGACATTGTACTTATATGCTGTATAGTTTAATATACTATCCTTTTATTATTTAATGCATCGTCAAGAAGGTATATGCTTGAATGAGAAAAAACGAGTTTCACGGGTAGCTATAAAAATATGCACGGCCGAAAGAACACAATCTTTTTTTATTATATTTTTTGTGCGTCATATAATATGTAAATATTTTTGATTTAAATAAAATATTATAATTAATATTTTGAAAATTAAAACTGTAATAAACAACAACTTTTGCAAGTTTGTAAATTTTGTTTATAAATTCGGTATTGTTTGCTAAAAATAATATTGACTAGAAATAATAATATTGACTAGAAAGTATTAAGTGAATACTCCAGGGGTATTTCCAACTTTTTATGCATGTTTATTTACATTTAAAAGATGATGAACTGAAGGTATTGACATTTCATAAAATATCGCGATAATTCCAGGAATATCGCCCAGCTCTAGTGTTGAGGACAGTTTTGGGTGTTCATCTTGTTTTATAGCCATTGCCATTAGCTTTTTAATAAATTGTAAGGAATATGTGTACACTCCAATGTATAACATAACTTGTACATGTAATCCAAAGATAATAAAATTATTTTCATTAAAGAAAAAAATTTCCCCTTGAATTTCTTCAAAATCCTATTTTTGCTTGTACATTTGAAATCAACAAGCAAAATTTTGCTTGTGTGTTTTCAAATAAAGTTCTATCCCTGATTATTAGTCATAGCTTTTTCATTCGGCGTTCTTAATCTAAAATGTTCCCATGTCCGGGATTTGTGGTTTTCTGGAGGCATATGTGTCATCGCTGGAAGACATCTTTCCTCTTTGCCACGTGAACTACAGTGGGACATAACACAGCATGATAGGAAAACAGACAGCTGAACTGAACCTTGGCATGTATACTGAGTAAGAAATGGGGTTTAACGTCCACTTGACACGAACACAGTCATTTTGGGACTTACACATGGTTTAATTTTAATTCAATAATTCGTTTGCGCGAGCGCGTATGGGTCTTTAGCAGAGGGAGGAAACCTACTCCTTGTCACGTAGAAGCGGGGAATCGAAACCACGCCAGTTGACTCAATGACAGACCTTATGATACAACGTGCACGCACTAACCTTTCGGCCATGCAAGCCCCCTACAGGCCTAGATGATTGTCCTGTTGTTTTATATTGAATCAAATAAATAAATAATCTATTATATATATAATTACTTGAATTGTCCAGGCTTTAACTTCATCTTTACCAGACGTAAAGAAATAAATCAGATTTAAAGCTTTGTAACCATTCACAATTATTTTCTCTAAAGCGCTGAAAACAAAATTAAAAAAGTTATTATTATTAAAGTGGGAACATGAATTCTAAATATAACTGATTAGTAGTTCAAATCTCTGTCAATAAGACAAAAATATGACAAAATTTAATAACACAAGAAAAATATAAATAGTCAGTACATTCACTTGTTTTTATTCATTCTATACTTAATAAAAACACGGTAATGCACAGATCTTTTCTGTATTTTTTCGTGTTCTCTTTTCTAGTGACAGCCCATTTCTGTTTTGAATTGTCCGATATCCTCGCACAGTCTCACATAACAACTTTTGGTCTTCAAGGGAAATATTAGTGAGCAGAAATTCGCCTGTGTATCTGTTATCGCTCGTCACTTCAGTTAGTTATATAGAGGGATAACTCGTGTTTTCCTTTTGCGTTCGTCACTTCCTTTTGTAGCAATTATCTCTGTGTTAAAATTATATTTGGAACGTGTTTAACCAGTTCTATCACATATGTGATAATGACTGACACCAATATTGTCCTTTAAATATTGGCAACAAGTGGACTCTTCCCATGAGAACAAAGAAAGTGTTACCAAACCATGCCTCGCATGCCTCTACCGGCTACCCCAACCAATACACTAACTACAATAAAACAAAACGACTTGAGAGAGAAATGGGATTTAACTTCCATTCGACACAAACTAGGTCATTTCAGGACTAACATACGGTTCAATTTTATTTCAATACTTTGCTTGTGTGTAGGGGTCTTTAGCAGTGGAAGGAAACCAGAGGACTAGGAGAAAACACACGAGGTTGGACAGGCAACACTACCCCTTATCACATACAACCGAGGAATTGAAACCACACCACTTGACTCAATGACAGACATTATGATAAAATGTGCATGCCTTAACCATTTGGCCACCCAAACCTCCAAAGCGACTTGAATCTGAGCATAAAATTTAAAAGCAGTGCTGCAGCAATAAATTACATTATTTATATGAAAGATATAAAATTTACCTTGTTGTTCCCAATTCTTTAAGTTTAGCATCTTTTTCTTCTTGGGTTTGCATGTCAGCCAGATCGAGTTCAAGAGCTCCACTAAACGGAATCAACAGGGCACACTTATCATTTTTGTCGATCCATTCTTTAATCTTAACTAACCTTATAAAGATAGAACATTTATATAATATATCTATAGCCAACTGGGGACAAATTTTGTGCAGCAGAAACATTTAGAAATATTTGGAGCTGCAGTGGCTCACAAAATGGCAGGTCCAGGTTTCGTTCCCAAGAAAGTTCCTCAGGATTTTCCAGCGTTGTTTCCCTGTTCTGTGGAGCAGGATGGAGGGCCTGACTAGGACAGTGACTACTTGTCCGAATGGGATGAAAAACAGGGGGCGTAGCGAGTTTGCAAGCACGTAAAATAAGCCTTGTTGTTAGGATGAAATGAAAAATCAAATTTCTGTGTACACGTAAAAGAACCATGGACACTTGGAATTTGAAATAAGAGTGGGCTGTAGTGGAATTGTCCCAACAAAAATGGCCTCGGAGCCCACATGTCTTCATTATCTGAATTGCTGCAGTAGAGTAGGATGTTCAACCCCATTTTATTCAGATACAGTCAATGATTTTCAACTGGAACAAAACTAGCTTACCATTTGTTCTTCTTCCTTACATAATCTTTTATAGATAAATTAACTAAATATATAACTGGTTTACTTGTAATAAATAAATGGGTATTTAAAACATCTATCTGAAATATACAGTATATAAACATTTTACACTGGGGCTTCACATAACACTGTAACCCAGGTATCATTTAATCTTGTGTATCTAGCACTAATTTCTTTCACATTTATTTAATATCAAGTCTGTTTAAAAATTGTAAAATTTAAACAAAAGATAAACTTACCTCGTTTACACTCCAAGTTACATTTCTAAGCCATTTATTATCTTGTAAGACATCTCTAACTTTAATTAGACAGTCCTGAAAACCATCAAGTATACTTTAAAACAAGAAAATAAAGAGGGAAGGGGGAGGATCTGTTTCCAGGGACCTCACACTGTAACCCAGGTATCATTTTATCTTGTGTATTTAGCATTAATTTCTGCAACATTAATTCAAGTTAAAACTGGTTGAAAATTCGTAAAAATCATTTAAAATCAACAAAAATCATCTAATTTGTACTTGTTTAAACCTGACCAGTAAATTTTGATAATGAGTGTCCAATTCACAAGTATTTAATTTCCTCCGGACCACTGTTCAAACATATATCATTATACATCAATAATCGATTGGGTTGTTTATTTTTGAACAGTGATCTAGAAATTAAAATCAAGAAATTTAAGGGTGGGGTGGATATGTTTAAAGGCAAAGCAATAATCGAGTGGTCGGGGCACTAGACTCCCAATTAGAAATTGGGCAAAAATGAATTTCAGGTTTATATTTTTGAAATTTCTCTGCTTTCTCTAGTTGACACTTAATATATAGATACAAGTAGATAAAAATATATACATCAAATTACATGTTCTATTTTCTTTTTCTTGTCACCAGTTTTGCCTTCTCGTGCAACACTTTTTTCTAACGGTTCTAATTGTTTCTGACAGTAATCTAGATCTTTTAATCGTAGTTCATCGTGGATGGTCTGAAGATCTCGTACTGGGTTAACTTCTCCATCTACATGTATGATGTCTTCGTCATCAAATGCTCCTGAAAGATGGAAAATGAATTTTATCAAATACAAGAGAGAGGGAGAGAAGTGGGTGTTTAACATTCACACAACACATCATTTTGGGCTAATATATGGTACAATTTTATTTCAATAATTCGCTTGCGCATAGGGGTCTTTTACCAGTGGGTGAAAACTGCAGGATTCCAAGAAAACCCCTTGAGGTTGGACAGGCTGTTTTAGAATCAAGTTCAGTCTGTATTTTTATCTTATACCTAGATATATTATCCATCTGATAGTGACAATACCTGTTATTATGCACCATAAGCACATTTTGTGGATATAGCGCTTTATAAATGGACATATTATTATTATTATTATTACATGTTGTTTTAGTCTTAATCCAAGCTAAGATATACCCAAATTGATTAATTAACATTTAAATAAAGGAAACAAAAGCACAACAGATTAGATCGTCTTCAGAATGAACAATGCTGGGAAATTTTTACAATTCATCCTACTTTCGCACAGACATTCATTTCACAATATGATCGTTTGTACAGAATTTAAAAGCCCTCAGGGGAATTGGATGACTGAATGGTTAGCATGTACGCATTTATCATAAGGTCTGTCATTGAGTCAACTGACGTGGTTTCGATTCCCTGGTGTACGTGATAAGGAGTAGGGTCACATGTACAACCTGGTGGGTTTTCTCCAGGTCCTCTGGTTTCCTCCCACTGCTAAAGACCCCTACACACAAGTGAATTATTGAAATAAAATTGAACCATATGTTAGTCCCAAAATGATCTAGTTTGTGTTAAGTGGATGTTAAACCCAATTTCTCTCTCTCACGAAAGACCTCAAATGATGATAAGCAAATAAATTTAATGATATCCATACAGTGCATATATCTTATTTCGTAATATAATACAGTTGACTCTGTCACTTCCGACATCTGAATACTACAGCATTCTGTGAAATCTCTCATCATTTTCATGTCCAGATTTATGTCCTTGTTACATCAACCAAAAAAGTTTTGAGTAGTCCAGATTCTGAATATTCCGAATTACGACATCAAACAGCGGTCCCGTCATATGTTGTCGGAATTGACAGAGTGCACTGTACATGAAAATTATTATAGTCTTTGAATTGAGAAGACTCTGGGGCTAACTTACTTGTGACATGGAAGATAGCATCACATGCTTTAATGTTTGATAAAAAGGCATTTCCTAGACCTTTACCCTCATGAGCACCTTGAACCAAACCAGCAATATCTACTACATTTAAATGAGCTGGTACCTTGCTGAAAAAAAAAATCAAAGATATAACTTAATCAAATTTGCAATGACAACTGTGTTTTCCCGATCGGACTCTCCAGTGGATTTCCTTCACCGAAATATCTATGTAAACATAAAAAAGACCAGGCCCCAAGTTCACAAAGCATTCTCAGACTTAAGTTAAGAATTTACTCAAAATTGTTTACTTAAAATGGTTTGCCTTATTTTAACCAAAATATAGCCCTTTTATAAAACTTTTGTTGTTTTAACGTATCAAATACATCAATAAGAAACTATGTGCAAAGTTTTGTTTTCTGGATCAAAGATATTTCTCATAAACAGTGATTTAAAGTTGAGTAAATTCTTAACTTAAGTTTGAGAATGCTTTGTGAACTTGGGGCCAGGTTGAGTATCTGGCATTTCATTTCCAAATTAGAGTTGACAATAGAATCAATAAATTTGTCAAATTTGTCCCTATTATGTGTCGAAATTAACTTTCCAATTGACAGTTACCAGTGCTGGTTCTACTGTGAATGTAGTGTGATGTTTGAATAGAGGCATTTAAAAAGTTTTTAAAATTTGATTCTAGTAGCTATCATTATTATCCATCAAGCTAGAATACAGAAATAGAGGCATTTAAAAAGCTGTCATTTATATCCATCAAGCTAGAATACTGAAATAGATTGACCATCACCATTAAATCCAATACTTACCTAAGTGGTTGATAATATTCACACAGGAAATCGAATCGAGTATCAGGAACGGGTACACGACCTACAAGACAAACATTTGAAACACATTAAAACAAACACAAAACCTTAACCCTTAGACCACCCGAAACAAGTCTAACTTAGACAGCCACATCAAGTGTACAGCCATGCAAAATGGTAGTACAGTAAACCTTGCATAAGTCAGATTCGCATAAGTCTGACCTTCGCTCAACTCAGATAAAATCGTTTTGACCCTTTGATCCTGCACATATTTTCTTATTAAATTTCCGTGCGTAAGTCAGATTTCCTAAGTCGGATCTTTGCTCAACTCAGATCAAATTATTTGGTCCATTTGATCTAATTCCGGCTTTTTTCCTTCACCTAAGTCAGATCAGTAGTATGTTCAGAAATACACTGTCAGTTTCGTCCCGATGGTCTAAAATGCGGTTAGGTATTCCATGCACAGTGCCCTAAAATACTTTCCGCTATCATTTTGACCCAAATTAGCCTATTTGACGCGACGCAACAATAGAATTTTTACAGAAAATTCAAAACTCGCTGTCTGCTGTATGAGAAACTTTCCGGGAAGATTTAGGACATTTTTCAAAGATGGCGACAAAACGGAACTTATCTACCCACACCAAAACGAAGTTATCTACTCGCACATACAAACAAAAGCTTGAAATGTTGCTTTGAATCAATTATTATCCGGTTCTTGCAGTTTATTTCTAATCGGCTAACTCGGATCTTGGCTTAACTCGGATAAAATTGGTCAGTCCACTTAGATCCGACTTATTCAGATATATTAGGCAGTTTGATATACCAGTATTAATATATGACTATCTATAAGGAACAAAAGGTTTGGAAACTCAGACATAGCCAGTTACACAAGAGGGACTGTTTTGTCCACACTAATATTTGTTGTACCGGTAGTCAATTTCGGCTTGAGCTACATGTATCTGAACAAACCCCTGTTTGCCAATTCATCTATATATGGCGAAAGCAAAAACAAGTGTTCAAATTTTCCAAAACTATTCGTTGATGGTAGATGAATGGTGCAATCGTCAGAGAAATAGATATGGCTTTGTTTTACGCTATTATGCTTAAAATAATATCGAGAACATATTCACTTACTTTCATTTGGTTCAATTGTACAGAAAGGAAAATTTTCTGCTGAAGCTTGACTTTTTGTGAGAACGTTAAAAAAGGTAGACTTCCTATAAGAAAATAACATAGGTAATAGATTATTATGGTACTAAGAATTTATTTCTTTACTAAAAATGAAATTTTTGTGTCATCGATACTGACAAATAGTAACATGAATTCAGGATACTGTGCAATAAATAAAAACATGAAAAATGAATTTAATTTGAAAAGTTATAGGCGTATCAAAAATGACCGACAGCAAAAATTTTAAGTTAAAGCCATGAGTGAAAATAATAAGATATATCAATGAAATAGAGTTTAACGTCCTATTGTCCTGGGCAGACTGGGCTAATGAAGATGAGCATACACTATACAGTGTGCTATGAGGGCAATTTAGCCAGGACAGCAACACTATAGCCTACTCTTATATTAAATTCCAACGGCCAATGTGTACAGGGGACCTCCGTCTTTCGTCACATTTTTTCTGCACCAATGACATTGGGGAACCATGTCGTAAAAAAACGGATGAACTTTCTCGATCAACACAGGGATCAAACACAGGACCTCTAGGTTAGTGAGCCAACGTCTTACTTACTGAGACACCATGGCAATAGGATAGGGTCTATATCAGATGATAAAACATTGAAAAAAGAAAAAATCTTAGTTTGAACTGAACTAACCCAACGTTCGGTAAACCAACAATACCAATCTTTAAAGAAGTTCCTACACGACCAATTAATGGTGGGGGGCCTTCAGCTTCCTTCTTTTTAGGTGGCATTTTATATCCTGGAAAGTAAATAGACTAATGACTAAAAAGAAAAGAAGATAATTCAAAAACATAGTGTTAGAAGCAAATACCTTTCAAAATTATCTTCAATTCTATATCAACAAAAGCTGTTTTATCAATTCATGATAATGTTCATCAATATTGTAGTATTTCAGAATATGCACTTTGAAACCCAATTTTTAATTATGTCAGTCTGCCATTTTGGTTTGTTCAGTTTTGTTGTAAATAATACAAGTCTACATCATATAATTTGTAAACATTATATTGAATCCTTCACAGGTTCAGTCAGACCACATATTACAATACCGGCCGGTACATATGTCATGTACAATTTACAAAAGAATCTCATGCCAACAGCATTATGCAATATCCAGCAATACATTTCACCATAGGCTATACAGTAATTACTGCATGTACATTTATAGGCCTAACTTACACCTTGTGATGAAACTATTGTGTGGAAAAGTGTAATCATTAATGTACTGCTTCCCCGGCAAGACTAGAAGATAATGATATATCATATAGGCCTACATGCATAGCTGCATGTACTATGAAATAGGCAGATCACCGTCCCCTGCCTGTTGGTCCCTGGACGGGACAATAGAACTTTGCGATCACACCAGTTATGATTCGTTAGCTGCATTGTTGTTTTCATTATTTTATATTATATTCAGTAACCCTAACTCTTATTCTACTTCTAACCAAATGGAAGTTGTCATTACAGGATCACCACCCGTTCAGTTTGTTGCTGTCACTGACAACATATTGATGGTTAGATGCGAAAACAAATTTAAAGTCTGAATCGTGCTCCTTACAGTATAAATAAACATACAAACCTGGTCTGTTGGACAAACTTTATGTTATGTTTACTGACAAAAGCTGTGATTCCAGTAAATATACCGGTCTGTAACGTGGGTTTCCCAATATGGTGAAACATTTACTACGCATGTCTATTACGGTGAATTTCCGGTTTGTGTCCAAAAGTTTTTATTAAAAGTAAAAGTGTTACTATGAAATGAATGTTTATCAAGAACTAGTTCAAGGGGTCCAATTTACACATAGATTATAACACAACCGTTTAAAGCAACAGTTATTGATGGAATTCGCACGAATGCTATAATATTTGAGAAATATATTGAATTACCTCCCCTTGAAAGAAATTGGGCCAGATAACTCTGCGAATAAAGAGGAATTAGACCACATTTATGTTGTTGTTTATTACAGTTTTACAATCTGTTTCACATTTCACATATGGATTGAGAAGGCCTTCTTCTTATATCTCTGTTCAAGATTACCGACCTTTATAAAGTTCATATGCATTCACTGGTCGATAGCTTGTACAATATTTACACAACGTGTGAACTAGTCGGGCAGTGCAGGTGCCCTATTTTTAATCATTTTATATACCGTACGGTAGCCTACCGGTACTTATTTTATTTTTTAATCCAGATGTACTTCAAACACCTTTATTTATTTTTCTAATACTTCAAAATAGTGTTCTAGAATTTAATTTGCAGAAGAAAAAAGTTAATATCGCGAGCTCATTAAGCCGCACCGATGTCATCCCTCTAGTGATTGTAGCGACCTAGCGAATTTTCACAGCTGATCAGTGTAAATCACTTCATATACATTCATATTACGTACTATTTCATTGATATTAAAATATTCGCTTCTAGAACCATTTTCGTTAATTTTAAAGGTCCAAAAGAGTCGAACTACTATCCTGTTACCTTTATTAGCTAAGTCCAGTTGTCAGGTTAAAATGATGTCACTATCTGGTATACTATTTTTCACACATTGCTTATTCAATACATATTTACGTAATAATGGGATCTGAAAACAAACCAGAGCTTACATAACAAAAATCCATCAGCTGTAAGAATTTGATACAGCTTTATAACTGGTAATGTAGGCCTATTGAGAGAATTCAGTATGCCAAATTATAATTAAATTAAAATGAACCGACTGGGCATCCCAAACTTATGAAGTAGATGGACTTCTGTGTGCAATGCAGTATGTCGACGGGGCTGTTGAAAACGGCATAGACCCTATGCCATACGGTGTGCTATTTTGCCCGGACATCGGACGCCAGTGTGTACACGGGACCTCAATCGGCGTTTCGTCCCATTCGAACGAGTAGCCTCTGTCCTTTCGAGGCGCTCCGTTCTGCACCACTGACAAGGTGATTAAATCAAAAGGGTTAACTATCCAGTTGTATATATCTGGAAAACGAGATCGATCATATATAAAAAAAGAAAGAATGCTAATCAGGTGTATTTTTTAAATTATATGGGAATTATCTAGCCAGCATGACAATGACAGAAGGCCAATTAGGTACAAACATTTTACCCATAGAAATGCTAGAATTTATATTTCTTCTAAAAATCAAAATATAGATATTCCTACGATCCCAAAAACTAGAGCCCTCCCTTGCCAGACCCTCTGTCCTGTCTCACTGACAATAGGAAACCAGCTTGGAAAACCCCGGGGAACTCTTCAGCCAACACTGGGATCGAACTTGGGAACTCGTATTTAGTGAGACAGTGTTACACTAAACAGGGCACCGTGTCTAGTCCAACGAACGGATAGAAAAACTGGTGTCTCTTTTTCACTTTGGCGTGCACGTAAAAGAACCATTGACGGTTAGAATCCGACATAAGGGTATAGCTGTAAAGAACCCGCACTCCGTGCCAATTATCCCCCATAAATCGGTCCTAATGGATTGTTTCTGTTTCTGAATGATTCAACAAAGAAACAGTTTCGAATGAAAAAGAATCACAAGGAACAACTTCTAGTCTTGCACGTGACGAAAACCAAGGTCCCGTGTACGAGAATCACTTTCAATCGGAATTCTATGAGGACGTGGAAACGCCTCTTACCGGGAAAAAATTTCCCGGCTTAATCTATTTTTGTCAAGGTCGCCGAGATTTAAATAAGATCCGAGTACATGATTGTTGGCGAGATTGTAGGTTAGGGTTAGAGTAAGCATTTAGACTGGGTCCAAGGTTAGGGATGGGATTAGCGCTAACCCTTTTTACATCCCGTGACCTATGACGAAAAATTGATATGGCCTTATCATTTAGCACTAACCAAATTCTCCCCATGGTAGAACATGTCTTTCTTATTAGCCCATGCATAAGGCGCATGAAAGTAGGTAAATTCCCATTTCATTTCAAGGTCTCATTGACGCTCATCGAATAATATGACAATTTATGAACATCATCCTTGATAAAACCCAACAATAGATTTTGTTTCTATTTCTAAGACAATTCATTGTGTAAAATAAGATGACTCATTATTACAGTCAGATTTATTGCGGATGCAATTAAGAGGTCCCGGATGTGAAGAGAAATTTTGCCATAACTAGAATTCCTAAATACATGTATATGATATCACGGGAGGGTAATAGTATAACTTACAAGGGAGAGGGGGTGGGGTGGGGGAGAGTTGACAGTGCGAAACACACCTAAACGATTACACGAGACAAATTTACCGACAGTACACAATATACATAGAAAATGAAATAGGATTTGGGCGTCCTACTGTTCTAATGAAGACGGACATACGCCATACAGTGAGCTATGCACGGGCGCAGATCGCCAAAAATTAGTGGTGGGGACAGTCCATGCGTGGGCGACTATTGGTAAAGAGGGAGGTTCGGGGGTTCTCCCCCGAAATTTTTTTGAAAACTAGACGCTCTAAAACGCACTATGTGGGTATTTTCAGCATCATTTTCTGGCAAATAATTCTAATCCCTGAGGTAGCAAATGATACGAAATCTAATCTAAAGACAAATCTTCAAGCCACCGTTCACGATTTATTCTCTCATGTACACTACAAGAACTAGAAATATTTACACTACTGAGATTCCAGCCCCGCCTCCATTCCCAGTAGTGTTCGAAGACTACGTAAAGTCTTTGAGCAAAATGTGTATTCAATTGGATACACCAATGTACAGGTCTACAAATCTTTTAATTTATATAAACTAAAACAAGCCACACACACAGCTAAACATATCAATTTTCAATCCCAATTGAAATAAATGAAACATTTTACATCCAGTATACCAGATAAAAACAAAATCTCAGTTAGTCCTTAAAACCCTTTAACACCCAGCGTATCAGATATGCACACCTACATGATATACATATTATTATATTCTCTATGGAATATTTTAATTATTTACTGTTATAATATGAATTATCACTTAATTATTCCCTGTTAAATAAAAATCGGTCACCGGGTGCAGCTGTACAACTTCAAGGACCCTGGCCTCAAGTGCCTGGGACCAAATCTACACCTTCTGAAATGTCAATTAAAGCTCTGGAATGATTTCAATTTCAAAAAATAAACAGTAAGCAAAACATCTGAAATATGTGGTGGGGACACAGTATATCATGTCCCCACCACTAAAAATATTGGTGTCCCCACCGGGATCTGCGCCCATGGTGCTATGAGAATGAGGGAAATCTTGCCGATGTATACACGGGACCTCAGTTTTTCTTCCCATCCGAACGACTAGACAGCTCGCCTTGTCAGACCCTCCGTCCTGTACCACTGACAAGTTGAAACCACGTCGGAAAATCCCGATGAATTTTCTCGTCCGATGCAGGGATCGAACTCGTGACCTCCAGGATAGGGAGCCAGCGTCTTAACTACAAACGTTTATATCAGATCAAGTGGATGGAACCGGGGTCTATTGCTAAGAGTCTATTGCGCTGTACAGTCCCGGGCCTGTAGTGATATAGTCTTCACTGGAAATGAAATCAAATAAGGGAGACAACCCATGACAAATGGTGGAATGTTTCTGAAACGTTGTATCGTACTGGTGTTGGTCAAAGGTTGATCTAATTGTCGAAATGTATGTTTAGCACTCACCGAATTCATGTAAACGTACATGTAGACATATCACTCAATCTGATTAAAACACCTATCCTATTACGTTACGGTTTTTTTTATAGTTCAAAACTTCGTTTTACTAATCTTTACTACACTAGGATCTGGAATAGTTGTTATGTAACACACGTTCTGGTTGATGTGAGGGATTAGCCAATGAAACGGTCTGTTACGGTGAGTTCTTGGCGTGCGGTGCATGGAACTGTCAGTATCCCACCAGAAACAACAACGCTGATTGGTTAATCGAATATCTGAGGTTATAGGGCCAAAAACCGCTCGTTTGACCCCTGACACGACCTCTCACTACAACCGGTCAGATCTTCATGTAGTGGAGGCCATCGAAAGTATAAAAAAACGAAACGAAACAGTAAGGAATATTCAGAAACAATACAAAACTGCGGAAATGCACTTCTGTTTTTATTAGAGGTAACCAGTGTATGTTGATGACAGACCAATTGTCTACACATAAACATAAACAGTTCACATGGGCGGCTTATCTGACGGCCCCATTTCACTCGCAAAGAGATACACTGTCAAAAGTGAAAATGGACGTTTTTGATTTTTGTCTTAATAAAGAGTAATTGTTCCACCAATCCTCAGACATTCGGCAATTCGTCGTGGTATGCTCCTAATCAACCGTCCAATCACGGTTTGGGGCAATCAGACCCACTCCTCTTGCAGTGCCACGGCGAATTCTTGCAGTGTTGTCGGCTGGCGTTGACGTCGACGAACACGTCTCTCGATTAAATGTAACACACTAAGGCAAAGATACACTAAACAGTAAATCTTATGAAAGAACCGATAGGAAAGCAAACATGGATAGGATAAACCAGCAAGCGGCAGTTTTCATCAACCCTTCCTTGAAGTGTCAAATATGACAATGAACCCCCCCCCCCCCACGTGTATGGCGCTATTGCAGCTCAGGGGGTTCTGTTGGGACGATAAGTTCTTCATCTGTGAACATACTCTCAAAGAATGTCAAGTGTCCATGACTATTTATCATATCACAACCTGCATAGGTATTTGCATTTCAATATCCCCTACTTTTTTTGAAGAGTATATATATATATGTATTTTAAGCAGATTGACCTATTACTCCGAATTATCGGGGAATTGATTTAGAAAGTGAAGTATTGTAAATCAAATTCCAAATCATTTAAGATTTCTCTGAAATGTAGTAAGACTAATCCTTAGATGATAAAGATAAAGGTTTGTCAAGAAGTAACTGAACTGAATTGGTATGGATGTTAGTAAGCTTGCGATTATTTAGATTTGCTCGATAGAAGTTTCTCAATTTCATAGTTTGAGCAAATTTTCGACAAATGCGGTAGGTATGTTGATTGGGTGAAGCTTGTCAAGATTCTTTCAGTGTGGCGGGTAAAGAGAGAGAGAGAGAGAGAGAGAGAGAGATGGAGTTTAACGTCCACTCGACACAAACTAGGCCATTTCGGGACTAACATATGGTTTTTAATTTTATTTCAATAAGTCGCTTGCGCGTAGGGGTCTTTGACAGTGGGAGGAAACCGGAGGACCCGGAGAAAACCCACGAGGTTGGACAGGCGACCCTATTCCTTGTCACGTACAACCGGGGATTCGAAACCACGCCAGTTGACTCAATGACAGGCCGTATGATACAGCACGCACGTGCTAACCATTCGGCCACCCAAATCTCCTGGCGGGAAAAGACAGGGAGGGGATGGATTCATTTCAGGGGAGAATCCAATCAAGAAGAGTGTAATTGAAATAAAGTTTTATTTTAGATCGGAGTATGCCTTGTTGCAAAGCAAAGCGTCTAGTTGTTCGGGTGGAACGAAAACCCGAGGTACCGTATACACGTTGCAGTGCATGTAAAAGAACACTTGGCAGTTCTTATTCGACGAAGAACAACATTTTCACCATAGCGCACGGCAAGGCGAATGCCCTATGTCATCATAAATGAAGGAAATGAAATGAAATGGGGTTTAGCGTCCTACTGTTCTGTTCCGACTGGGCTAATGAAGACGGGCATACGCCATATAGTGTGCTATGAAGGACATTTTGTCCGAGCAGCGGCGCTAAGGCCTACTCTAATATCGAATCCAATTGCCAAGTGATCTTTTACGACTAGACATTTGTCAGTGTCGTCCTGCACTACTGACAAGGGAAAACCACGCCGGTAAATCCCGATGAACGAGCGAACCCGCGACCTCTAGGCTAGTGAGCCGGCATCTTACTGACTGAGCCACCGTGGCTCCCTATGTCATTATGTCGGTCAGTGCAGCAGACAAAGTCAAACGGTAACCGCATGTCATTATTTCATTTCATGTCTACATAACATTTCATTGATACGATATATCCAGCTCAGGTTACCGCTTAACTGTCACGGTCATCATCATTAATTTTCGTTGTATGTTTTATTCTATTATATCAGAAGGGGGGAATCCTGACATTAAAAATGATTTTAAAAATAAATAAAATGTTTGATGGTAAAAATAAAATATGAGCAGAACTACGAATAAGTCGTGTAATAACAACAGGACAGACACGAGAAAAGAACTATTTATTTTTGTAGGACTGTACTAGGACAATATTAGGGGCTTTAAGTGAAGAGGGTGCAATAGCGAGCTTTGTGTCATGGGTTTTGAGATTGTGCGGCCCCCGTTCAAATGGATAAAATCTTGTTGTTTCCATGCGGATTCAACACTAAACTCATGATTAACACATTTCGAACAAATACCACCATGATTAACCAATTTCGAACAAATACCGCCATGATTAACAAATTTCGAACACAAACAAAAATGATTAACCAATTTCGAACAAATACCATCATGATTCACACATTTCGAACAAATACTATCACGATTAATCAATTTTGAACAAATACCATCATGATCAATCAATATCGAACAAATACCATCATGATTAACCAATTTCGAACAAATGCCATCACGATTAACCAAATTCGAGCAAATGCCATCACGAATAACCAATTTCGAACAAATGCCATCACGATTAACCAATTTCGAACAAATGTTATCACGATTAACCAATTTCGAACAAATGCCATCACGATTAATCAATTTCGAACAAATGCCATCACGATTAACCAATTTCGAACAAATACCATCATGAATAACCAATTTCGAACAAATGCCATCATGATTAACCAATTTCGAAAAAATGCCATCATGATTAATCAAATTCGATCAAATGCCATCATGATTAACCAATTTCGAACAAATACCAGCATGATTAACCAATTTCGAACAAATACCAGCATGATTAACCATGGCTTGTTGTTTCCACGCGGATTCAACACTAAACTCGTGATTTCGAACAAATGCCATCATGATAAACCATGGCCCAGGGAAACTGGTGGAGTTAAGATATACTACAAATCCACAGTTCGAACCAGCCCAAAATGTCTCGTCGCCGGTGTTTATCACGTGTGTGTGTGTGTAGCGGGCGGGGGCAATCGCGATTCCCCTATAACGAGATAAATTTGGGTTTTTGTGCCCCCCCCCACCCATGAAATCTTCTTTCTCTTGAAACACCATTGACCAACTTGATCTCTATATTTATGACTGGATTTCCGTGGTATCATCCTATATATACGACCAATCACCATTCATAAATGATTCTCCCCAAATGTCACGTTTACTATTACTATTAATGTTAACGATTTAGAGTGTCGAGATCATTTCCGATGAGGTCGATCCTTGAAGTATATATAAGAGTGGTTTTAGTGTATCACAATGAATCACACGCCTATTTTTGAAACTTGAAACATCATAGTAATTAAAAGAGAGAAAAACCACACGCCCTTCAAATATGGTAAGAATTATTTTAATATTTCTTATTTTGCTTTTAGCATAGATAGTTTTCCTGTATTTTCAAATGCTGTATAAATATTTTAATTTATTTTATGATTATCTTTATTAACGAAAATATGAGGAACATTTATATTCAAAATCAAATCCTTTAAAAATAATTGAGATAAATTTTAATTTTATTTTTTTTTTTCGCTAAGCTTATATCGTTCAATTAGATCGTGCTTTCGAAGTTATTAATAATAATTAATAAAGATATAAATGTTCCTCATTTCGGAAATCTTGAGTTTTAGGTAAAAAAAAAAAAATAAATAAATTTAAAATTAAAATTTATCCCGATTATTTTTAAAGGATTTGATTTTGGAGCGTCATTTTGCTAAATGAACTAAATAAAATTGATAAAAAAAAAAGTGTGATTGGTCGCTCAAATTGTCGAGAACGTGAACATATGGCAAATATTGCTTGTATTTTAATTTCATTACCTGCAAAAAAAATGTATTGTTAGTATCTCGACGTAAGTATATACCAAAACCAAATAAAACCATAATCTATCAAAACGTAATACATAGATACCTCGGCTCAAACTAGGTCATTATGGACTAATATGTGGTCCAATTTTATTTTAATAATTCACTTCTGCGTAGTGGTCTAGGTGTGGGAGGAAAGTGGAGGACCCGGAGAATGCCCACGAGGCGACCCTACTCCTTGTCACGTACAACCCGGAATCGAAACCACCCCAGTTGACTCAATGTTATAGGGGTTTTTAGCAATGGGAGAAAACTCACTAGGTTGGACAGACAAGCTAACTCTTTGTCATATAATAAAAGACACACCACGTCAGTTATTGACAGACCTTATGATCTAATGCGCACGTTGTAGACAATTTGGCATCCCTTCTATTAAATAGAAATATTGTTACTCCAAGTGTAAAATAAATTGTAATTAAATTCTGTATAACATATTTGTATTTTTTTTTTAAACAGGTGCCCGTCTGGATATTGTTTCTTATTTACTTGAAATGTGTTCCCGCTGTTCCCGATTGTCCAGATTCCTGCTTATGCTTCTCTGAATTTGTGACTTGTACATCCGTGAACGAAAAAACAAACTTTCCAACCAGTACCAGAACCATAGTGTTGGACAATGCTCAGCTTAGTTCGCTTCCGTCAGGCATATTTCAGGATCTGCCTGTTTTGAAGCTGATTGAGATTCGCTCAAGTAATATAGGGACAATAGAATCGGGCGCTTTCTCAAATCTACATAATTTGGATTCCATATTGATCAGTTCGTCAACAGTAGGAACCATAGCGACCACCGCTTTCAGCAACTGTTCTCAAATAGAAACTATAGCCATCTCCTATTGTACGGTTTCCGCAGTCCAGCTCGGTGCATTTTCGAATTTAAAGAATTTAACGCGACTTGAGATCTATTCGAGTAACATTTCAGTTATAGATCAGTCAGCATTTCAAAATATTTCAAATATCAAATCTTTGGATCTGTTCTTAAATGATATCATTGATTTAAAACAAGGGACCTTTACTCGAGTGGTGCCTGTTTCTGCCAATATATACTCTAATACATTTGGCCGAGTCGAGTGCAACACCTTTGAAGAACTTTTTGCTGTGGCCGAAAGAAAACAATTCTATTCCAACAAATTTACGTGTAACTGTGACATTGCCTGGATTTTACGCGATGGCCTCTATACACACACGTTATCAAATAACGAATGTAGTGATGCTTCTCCGAAATCGCTGAGGAGAAAAAGCTTGAAGGAAGTACTGCCATCTTCCAAAATGGCGAACTGTGTCATACCAGCAGTCTGTCGGAATAATGAGACCCTGATAACCCCATCAACTACTCAACGATCAAACACAGTTTCTATATCAAGCACAACCGTGATTACATCTGCCCCAGATACCATCCCTGTTACGATAACCAAGTCTTTAGGTACGACCACAACGAAACGTCCGTCAACGAACATCCGCAAAGATACCACAACAGCGGATGGCCTTCCTTCGACTAAAGCTACACCTGTTTCACAGTCAACGGACGAAACATTCGTCACAAAAAGGATAACAACACAATCTCCCAGAGTAACGAGGGAAATGACTAAAATGCCGGAAACCACAGGAGAGCAAGCCGGACAAAGGAACCATTCAGCGACTCTTAAACAAGAATTTATTTTCACGGCATTGTTTGCCATGTTACTTATGCTGGGATAAATACTGAACATTTCAAGTGTTTGTCAATCTGTTGTTTTTGTCATAGATATTATCTTGTTGTGAACAGCTGTCTGTTATTTATATTTGTGCGTATCTATATTCCCCCGAGAAACGGCTTCCATACGAAAGGTTTGTCCAATCAATGGTCAAAGGAAAATTCGAAGAATAATTCGTAACACGAGGTACAATTTTATGGATACACAATTACCGAGTTTAATACTAAGCGACGGGGATACTCTCGTCTATATCAAGCAAATAAAGACGAGAGTAATTGTGTATCCATAAAAATGTACCTTGTGCTAATATGTTCAATTACTAAATGCCAATCAAGGAAAATAATTCGTAAGACCACGCCAATTTAATTTTCAGTTCTTCGTGATCTTGATAAATATGAATAACCACTTAAATCACGTAAAATATGTTTTGTTTAAAATTCTAAAACTTAAAAATTGGGAAGTAAAAGATTTTGAATGGAATATAGCCATATACTTTTGGATTTTTAAATAAGTCCTTTTCTAGAGAAATAAAAGGAAAATCTATTAAAGGTGTTCCCGAAGAACAGAAATGTATTTGGAGAAATGTTTTTGAAGAAATGTTTTTTGGAAAATGTGTAACCACCTAAATCACGTAAAAGTACTTTTCTAAAGAAATCAGAGGGAAATGTTTTAAAAGGCGTTCCCGAAGAACATAAAATGTTTTTGGAGAAGTGTGTTTAGAAAACTGTTTTGTAAGATTGATACTTGGAGATTTGTATTTGGAAATTTGATGTTCGAGATTTGTTTTTCGTTGTATGTCTCTGATGAAATGTAAATGTAGGCTAAATTTTTGATTTTCTAAAATAAATTTTTATCTTTATATTATACTATTCAAAAAAAGTAGGGGATATTTGATTTTTAAGTGTTATTAAAGTCACCTAATGAAACTGACGAAGAAACAAATGACAAAATGAAATGAAGTTCGCATTCATCGATTTATTCCAAATGATCGTTAGACTAAGTAAGGCACAGACTGACCATTATAAGGGTAAAATGATACCCGGGGTCAAACAGCAAAGTTACCACAGCATCACAACCAAGTCAGTAACGGGTAAATCCTCCTCTGTTTGCCAAACAAGCATTGATCCGACGTGGCATACTCCTAATGAGACGTCTAAGGTCATTTTGGTCCAGATTGTCCCATTCCTGTTGCAACGCAGCAGCAAGTGCTTGGACATTGGCAGGACGTTGTTGACGTTGACGTAACCTCTGTCCAAGCATGTCCCAGACATGCTCGATGGGGGAGAGGTCGGGACTCAGTGCTGGCCAAGGTAATGTGGTGATGTTCTGTTGTTGGAGGTAACCTGTAACGATCCTGGCCCTGTGACATCTTGCGTTGTCATCCTGGAAGATGTAACGGCGGCCATGACGTCGTGCGAACGGCACAACATTGACTGCCAAGATGTTGTCCCGGTAGTACTGGCCTGTAACACGCCCTGCAACAACATGTAAAGCCGTTCTTCCAGCAACAGTGATGCCTCCCCACACCATAACAGAACCACCCCCAAATCGATCATGTCTGATGACGTTAACGTCTTGGAAGCGCTCGTTTCGACGACGCCACACCCTCCTACGTCTGTCCAAAAAATCAACAGTGAACCTTGACTCATCTGAAAACATCACATTGCTCCAGCGTCGATTATCCCAGTGTTGACGATCCCTACACCAACGACGTCTTGCCTGAATGTGATGATCTCTCAAACAAGGGATCACGCGAGGACGTCGGGCGCGAAGGTGACCCCTATGCAGTCGATTCCGAATCGTCTGGCCACTCACTCTCACACCAGTGTCTGTTTGAAGACGAGCGCTGATCTGATTTGCTGTGATGACACGATTTCGCAAGGCCAAGGTACGGATAAATCGATCCTGGGCTTGAGTTGTCGCCCTTGGTCGACCTGAGCGTGGTCTGTCCTGTACAGATTGTGTATCACGGTATCTGGACCATAGCCTGCTTATGACAGACTGAGAAACATTCATCGTCCGCGCCACAACCGCCTGTGTTGTGCCGATCTGTAGCATGCCAAGGGCACGTAACCTTTCATTTTGGGCAAGCCGACGCATATCAAAATTTGTTTTCTGGTCACTAAAACAATTAAACTGATGTTTCCACCCTGGAATTCAATGCCACAATGACTGTAACATTCAAAGTCAGAGTCGTGCAAATCTTGGGTTGGACCCCCATGATGATCCCAAGCATCACCTGCATTCCATGCGGTAGCTATTGGTGCGTTTGGGCGTCACATGTAACTGGAAATGTTTCTTCTGTTAGGTTCTATAGTGTCTTTTTTCGTAGTCATTTGCATATTTTAGTATTATGCCCCCAAAATCAAATATCCCCTACTTTTTTTGAATAGTATACAATACAATTAAATTACATAAAAATTCAATTTACAAATCTAATGTGGCAAATGTCTGATTTGTAAAACAAATATTGATTTTAAGGTATAAATTTTAATTTGAGTGTACAAATGTCGAAATACGACACCAAATGAAGAAATAAGAATTAAGGGCTATGAATTAAGAACTCTGAATAAAGAGCTGTTTGGTTTTCCATACATGACCCGCTATCCCTGCCACTATTCTGTTAGCCGATTTCCGATAGGTAGTAATCGGGTTTCTGAAAGCCAGGAGCCCTTTCCCGTTATTCGAACTTGGGAGCCCTAAGTTACCTACTCACACATCTTGGCTTAATAGTTTAAAACAACGACATTGTTGTGACTTTACAATATACCGGAAACCTTTCCCCGTTATTCGAACTTGGCAGCCCTAAGTTCCCTACTCACATATCTTGGCTTCATATTTTAACTTTCGGATGAGTGTATCTTTAAAACAACGACATTGTTATGACTTTACAATATACCGGAAACTCTCATGATTAAATAAATGTCATGTCCCCTAATAGAAGGTTATATAGTAGCCGTCTAGTATAAGAGATTGTATAGTTACATATACTGTTTATCTATATAACATACAATACAGTAGCACGTTTCTTGAGAGAGAGAGAGAGAGAGAGAGAGAGAGAGAGGAGTGTTTAACGTCCACTCGACACAAACTAGATCATTTCGGAACTAACATATGGTGCAATTGCGTGTAGGGGTCTTTAGCAGTGGGAGGAAACTGTGGGACCCGGAGAAACCCACGAGGTTAGCCAGGCGACCCTACTCCTTGTCATATACAACCGAGGAATCGAAACAACGGTAGTTGACTCAATGACATACCTTATGATGCAGCGCGCATTCGCCCCCCCCCCCACACACAATATAAGGGACAATGTATAGGCGTCCCATGTACATATTTACATGCAGGAAAATGAAACAAAAGAATTAAGAATAGGCCGTAGTGGCGCTCTCCAGGCAAAACTTCCTTAATAGCACAATGTAAGGCACGTGAACGTTTTCATTAGCCAGTAGGACGTTAAATCTTATTTGAATATAATAACAAATCTACAGCATATCCTATCCCAACTAGTGGTCAAAATCAAAGTCCAGCGGAATAATTCTGCAAAATTGAGTAACAACAGCAATAGAAATTGATAAAAAAAATAGCCGGTGATATTTTCAATGGCGCCATTCCAATATTTGACAAAATGTTTACTAATCACTGACAAGAACCGACCCGTGATTTTTTCAATATTTTTATATAATCATTTAAAGATACATTATGCAAGAGCTAAATTTGCCTATTTCAGGTCTTTCTTTAGGCCCAAAATGTTATCTAAATTATTAATTAGACATTAATTAACTTTCATTCTTGATTTAATCATGAAGTGGATAATCGAGACTATGTTTTTTTTTTATCGTACCGACTTTAGTAATGATGATCGAGGCTAGGCCGAAAATTCAATCGCTAAATTCTCGGCTCAGAGTGGATAAATTTTACTGAAATTTTCAGCAAATTCACTTTACATTATCTAGTTTTTAACTATTATAGCGAGAGCTGTCAGTCCTGCATCTATTCTTTCATAATTGATCTTTAAATTTTGAATATGGAGTGTAGAATATGCATATCTATAACACATCTTTTCTTGTCGGTCACTTCTTGCAATACTCTGGACGTTGTTAACGAACGAAACCCAACAAAAAACGCTCTTCTCGGTTCAAAATAGCCAAGTGAGAAAAATCACGCTGATTGGTTAATCAAATGTCTAACGTTAATCATGGTATTAAAAGCTGCTCGTATCAACGCTGACGCGACCTGCCGTTACAACTGGTCAGCTCCTCATGTAGTAGAGGCCATCGAAAGTATATAAAAAAAACGAAGCGAAATATAGATGTTCCGCATTGACTGGGCTAATGTTCTGCGCGGACTGGGCTAATAAAGATGAAACGTAGATGATGGGACATTTTAGCCTAACATCCATGAAAACATTGTCCCGATCAATTTGTTCTCCGCCTGCGGATTAAAAAAATACGAACAAACTTGTTAGATATTTGGGTCGTCTGCTTTGAAGTAGAACATTGGCGGGTAAATACTTTCCACGCAGCATCAATCAGCGATCACATACAGATCACATGACATTTTAAAATAACATGATTGATCGACCTAAAACATTCTTTTGTCTGCTGGGCCAAGTTCATCGTGTGCGGCAGGGGCGGATCCAGAGCGGGGGGGGGGGTCGACCAGCTACATATTTTTTTTGTAAATCAAAACTTTTTATTAGAATAGTTTCTCGGCCGTGTGCTTTATCCCTTATCGTCAGATGTGGGACAGGATGGGCACTCAAAGCACGGGATAATGATATAGACATTATGTGATATCACAATTGATGCTTTGCATCCATGAAATTGAATCACAATGTCATTGTATTAATTCATAATAAAAATTGACGTCAAACGAGATGTTAAATGTCTCTGTTTAAAAAGCTCAATGTGTATGTATATACGCCAAAATGACGATAGAGACCATGCGGGAGGGGGGGGGATACATTGTCTCACGGACCTGGCAAACCCCCTCCTGCAAAAATTCCTGCATCCGCCCCTGTGCGGACAACAAAAACAAAAATATTTGTTCGATGTTTTTGTTTGTCGACGACATAAATGTTCCATCAGTTGCGCTAGGCTTAAGAGCAAATATTATGCATGATTTACAAGGTCCGTGTTATGTCCCACTCTTCTTTTTGTGCTGTGGATTTTTATGTAAATGTAATTGCCCGCCCTCTTTATAGTGCAGTGGGAGCAGAACAGTTTAATTGGTGTCCGCGGTACAGCTTAATGAGAAAGGGAAAACTGTTTTTCTTGAAATGTTGAAGAATGTATTTGCCTCAAGGAATTATTTTTTAATAAAAATTGTTTGTAAAAATATACTCATAATTATTTATTTACTGTTTAAAAGGGCCCACTTACCCTAATTATCTTTACAAACATGTTTTTGCCTCATCATAGCATTGCCGTTATCTTTAATATAACTATTTTTAGTAGTATTGTTAATACTAGACTGAAAAACCAAAACATATTTTTTTCTTTTGAAAATTAAATGTGCTAATTAAGGGTGTTTAAACTTATTACTTTTGAAATGTGGTAATTTAACCACTACCGTGTTTACAGGACATACACAATAAACACCTATAATTAAATTATTTCAATGGCATTAAGTAATGTAACTGGAATATACAGGTCAAAATTCTAAAGAACAGAAGTACTGTTTATTAGGCTTCTCTAGTCATTACCAAGCAATCTATACAAAGAAAAAAATTCGATAATGAACTCTATTTGAATAGCTAAGAAAACAAATAGTTCCAATATCGAAACTATTCTGTACACCATAGTGACAACGTAAGTTATATAAACACTGAATTGACGATTAAAACTAAAACAAGCGCCGATTCGATGCAAGATACGGCCTCATTTTGCAAGAGATGGATAGAGAACAAGTTAAAAAAGAATCTATTTTTTCGTACAAACAGGGTCCATATTGGCCGAAAAAGTTCATCGGGATTTTCCGACGTGGTTTCCCCTTGTCAGTGGTGCGGGACGGAGGGCCTGACAAGGACATCGGTATAGTCATTCGGATGGCACGAAAAACCGAGGGCCCGCGTATACACTGGCATGCCAGCTAAGGATCCCTTGGCAATGAAAATTCGATATAAGAGTAGGCCATTGTGCCGCTGCCCAGGCACAATTTCCCTCATAGCACACTGTATGGTGTATGTCCGTCTTTATTAGCCCAGTATTACTTTCCAAAATAACCGACAGACAAAATTTTGAAGTAAAAGCCCTGATCTCATTATTAATGGCAACTTGAGGTTGTTTGTTTTAATTATTACTGAATGGTGATCATTATAAATAGATCTAGACTACACAACAAAAACCTTTTTCTCCAGTGGCTAGACACTTGCTGGCTACCCTTTAGGCCTCGGGTTAGTTCCCTGTTTAATTTCTATTCTCTCAAACAAGAAAAGGCAGAAGACTGGTTTGTGTGTTATAAAGCTTTAATTTAGAAATTAGCAAATGAAAATAGTTGATTAACCGTCGCGAATAAAATTCTGTTAATAGTTAAGATGTAAAATGAAATCTTCCAAGATATGTCCCCAAAGACGCCCGAACCATACCTTTACCCCTTTTTAATACCCAGCCGATTCCTATCGTAATGCAATTTTTTTTTAACACGGCCGCCTAACCGAAATGTTACAATTCAGTGCCAACGCCCCACCCCCTCCTCCCAACGTCTAAATCTATGACCCGAATATGCCATGCCTGTATATCCTGCAGTGGACAACTGAGCCGCATCATGAATTTGGAATAATTCATGGATATGTGTGACAAATGATTCACTTCGAATGCCAGTCTGCAGTCTCTTATGGGACAGAAGAGGGAATTAGGAATGCACGGCATTGGTGCCTTTAGGGCTTTTTGCGAATATTGGAACTCACCGTGATTATGCCTAAAGTAGCCTTAAACCTAAATCAGAACGCAAACGGTATACATGCCCGGAATTTAAGGGTTGGTCGGGAACCAAGATATCTTGCTGAAAGGTGAAAATTGAAAATAACCGAAAGCTAAAAGCCTGCATAACGATACCGTTATGTTTATGGCAAGGTATCGCTGCCAATATTAAATGTTCTACTAAATTGTCTTTTGGATTGATTATCTGTAAAAAGTACAATGTACAAAGTTCTAATACCGGTAATAATACAGTCAAAATACCTCTTAGGCCAAGCTTAAATGCAAAACGTCAAATATAATGTGTCAAATGATAAATGTTTTATTGGAAAATGCTGGTTTTTTATTTCACGCGTTAACATTTTACATTTCACTCATTGTATTTTACATATTCTCTCTGCCAAGTTCCGAAACCAAGTTCTTTGAAGAGAAAACACATAATAATATCGTTTACATATAAATACTATGTTACTGGACGCTTTGGCAGTCGGAGATTTTAAACAATGTTAACGTCATTGAAAATAGATTCAGACCCAGTGTCAACTGATAAACGTTGCATGTAAGTTTTTCGTTTTAGTGAACAATGGATACAACCCTGTAATCAATGGAAACCGGATCAGTACAAGTAGAATTTAAACATTAAACAATAAGTGGAATATATAATTATAGTTTAGTACGCATATGGTGTGGCATATTCCTGGAGCAATGGCCCGAGAAATCCCTCTCTGGTCATTGCTGGATTGGCTTCTGATACTTGAGCTTTTGAGGGAGTGTGTCTATTTTTCCCGTTCAATCAAATATATCCCAAGTACAGCAACATGACAGTCCTTCGTTTAATCTGGGGTCTTCCCTAAAACTTTGGACAGTGATTTATGGTATTAAAAACGGTGAAAGTCTTGTTCGTCTCCATACAATAATGTTTACATTGTATCAATGTTGATAGCCTCGTTTGTCACGCAGTTAGTTTTTCTGCAATATTCTGCTATGCACTGGTTAATTGGGCGTAATAAAATCATGAGTCATGACGTAACGTTATGTAAACATATTTGGTCCAGTGTGGAGCTGCGTTTAAAGCGTAATCAAATTGTTAGGCAGTTAGCTATTGGTTGTTTATCGGACTATTGACCAGTATTGACCAGTAATAATTTGGAACAGAAATTTGCTTCCATTAAAGCAGTGTTTAGTGGGATTAGCTCTAATCAAACGAAACACTGCGGGGAGTATGATGGTGTGGATCTTGGATAATTTCCAAAATGGCAACAAGTGAAATAATGTTCAGCTTAGGTGGTGTGTAGCGACGATGTCCATGACTCCGTTTTCTACGAGAATGACTGATTTTTGATAGCAGATCTGATAGGAGCATGATGAACAATTATTGGAGTTGCGAATCCATACCAAATTATAAGACCTTCTGTTGTATTATATAAATATTTTCAAAGTTAATTAGTCTTAGGTCATGTAATTGTTTTCAGCGAAATTTCGAAATGATCTGTATGAAACCACTATTC